CAACTAACCCTAAACCCACAGCCTTGTCGGCGACAAGACCCTCATGATGTGGCTCTGCGACAAAGAGATGTACACACACATGTCTACGCTGACCGAATTCACCCCTGTAATTGAACGCGGCATGGCTCTACACAAAATGATCCGCCTCGTAACACACGCCCTCGGCGGCGAGGGGTACCTAAACTTCGAAGGCAACGAATTTGGGCACCCAGAATGGCTCGATTTCCCACGCGCAGGGAACGACAACTCTTTCTGGTACGCTCGTCGCCAGCTAAACCTAACCGAAGACCCGCTTCTACGGTACAATTTTCTGAACGAGTTCGACCGCGGGATGCAGCTAGCCGAGCAGAAGTACGGATGGCTTTCTTCGCCGCAGGCGTATGTCAGTTTGAAGAATGAGAGTGACAAGGTACTTGTCTTTGAGCGGGCTGGGTTGCTTTGGATCTTCAATTTCAATTCCACGAAGAGTTTTACGGATTACCGTGTTGGGGTTGATGTTCCTGGTACGTATCGTCTTGTGCTTGATACGGACGAGAAGGTGTTTGGTGGGCTTGGGAGGAATGTGAAAGACACGCGCTTCTTTACTACCGATCTGGGGTGGAATGGGCGGGCGAATTTCGTGCAGGTTTATATTCCTACGCGGACTGCTTTGGTATGTTGTCTGGCTGCTTCTTCTGCCCCATCTGCCTTTAGTTCTTGTTTGCTGACTTTGGTGTGTTTTCCAGGTGCTGGCGCTGGAGGAGACTCTGTAAGGTGAATCGTCAACCTACGTCTATCTTCCACGCCGCTGAGTTGAAGATTGAACATCTCCTGGTATTGAATGTTGTTTTCGGCGAGTGCAGGTGGAGTGGGTTAGCCTGACTTCTTTGTGTAATGTCCTGCATCTTGCTTCCAATCACGTCTATCTATCTCGCAACGTCTCGTGTCATTTATCATTTACACACTCTTTTTTTCATTTGGAATATAGATTGAATAGAGAGAGAGCGTCGAGGATTATGTCATGTTGCACGGTTCTCTGTAGGTAGTATAGAAAGGTCCTGAATCGCATGACTTGAACAAGGAGAATGACCAGGACGAACAACGAAGTTCATGCAGACAAGACCAGCCCGAAAGATAGAGTTGAATTGAGTAGCCTCCAAGAAATGAATGTACATCTTCGAACCAAGAACTACACCAAACACCCGTCAGTCCACCTACAATTGACTACAACACCCACTAGAGCCGACTACACAAAACCCAAGGGGCAGTCACAAAGAAAATGATGTCGAGAATCAGGTTTTGAACTCTAAGTACACAAAATAATGAAACACGCCGGTCAAGGGGGGGTTTGTGTAAGGTATCTCCAATCCAGACCGGCTTTAAAATCCTATCAACTCGCTAAGACAAACGCATCATGAACCTCCTCCAACCCAGCAACAAGCAACCCCAAAACTTCTGAACTCAATCCCAGACACCACGATTCAGCACTCGGTGCATCGTCAGACATTTCATTTTCCCCTGGCTCGGGTTCCTTTCGGATCGAGTCTAGAAAGAACACAAAGAGAACTCCCAACGTTGATGAAACGACCATGCACTGGAAAATGGATGTGAAATCAAATCCCTTTCTTGTTGCATTTTTGTTTTTCTCTTAGATCGGGTAATGTACATTGTAATATACACGCCTCGAAGCAAGGAAAAAAAGATGTTGTCGCGTACAACATTGGAACATTTGGAGTGTTCTGACAAAGGGAATTAAATGAAGACTGAGGGAACCACTGGAGAACAGGTGAGGAATAAGAGGGAAAGGAGAGGGAGAGCTTGAAGATGAAAGGGGGATGTTAAGAGGGCGCTAGCTAGCAAATGACAAAATTACATTTAGGCCTTGTTCTCAAGCTCGGCGAGAATCTTCTCACCCTTGGCGCGGGCAGCGTTGATGTCACCAACCATGTAGAAGGCGGCCTCGGGGAGGTCGTCACCCTCACCAGCAATGATGGCCTTGAAGGAGGCAATGGTGTCCTTCAAGTCAACAAGGGTACCCTCGATACCAGTGAAGACCTGGGCGACGGCGAAAGGCTGGGACAGGAAACGCTGGAGCTTACGGGCACGCTCGACGGTGAGCTTATCAGCCTCAGACAACTCATCCATACCGAGAATGGCAATAATATCCTGGAGGGACTTGTACTCCTGGAGCATCTGCTGGACACGGGTGGCGGTGTTGTAGTGCTCGTCACCGATGATACGGGGGTCGAGCATACGGGACTTAGAGTCGAGAGGGTCGACAGCGGGGTAGATACCCAACTCGGAGATACCACGAGACAACACAGTGGTGGCGTCCAAGTGAGCGAAGGTGGTGGCGGGGGCAGGATCAGTCAGATCGTCAGCGGGCACGTAAACGGCCTGGACGGAGGTGATAGAACCCTTCTGGGTGGTGGTGATACGCTCCTGCATGACACCCATGTCAACAGCCAGGGTAGGCTGGTAACCGACGGCAGAGGGGATACGACCCAGAAGGGCAGACACCTCGGAACCGGCCTGGGTGAAACGGAAAATGTTGTCAATAAAGAGCAGCACGTCCTGACCCTCCTCGTCACGGAAGTACTCGGCAATGGTCAGACCGGTCAGGGCAACACGAGCACGGGCACCGGGGGGCTCGTTCATCTGACCGAACACAAGGGCGACCTTGGATTCACCCTCAAGCTGGATGACACCGGTCTCCTGCATCTCATGGTACAGATCGTTACCCTCACGGGTACGCTCTCCGACACCACAGAACACGGAGTAACCACCGTGGGCCTTGGCGATGTTGTTCTAAAGGGTCGAAACATGAGCTATTTGCGCATTTTGATTTTGAATATAAGGGAAAGAGGGTAAATCCTTACAATCAGCTCCTGAATGAACACGGTCTTACCGACACCGGCACCACCGAACAGACCAATCTTACCACCACGGGCGTAGGGGGCGAGCAAGTCGACAACCTTAATACCAGTGACAAGAATCTCGGCAGAGGTGGACTGATCGACGAACGCAGGGGGGTCGGCGTGAATTGGGGCGAACTTGGAGGCCTTGACGGGACCACGCTCGTCAATGGGGTCACCAGTGACGTTGATGATACGGCCGAGAGTGGCGGGACCGACGGGGATGGTGATGGGTGCACCAGTGTCCTCGGCGATGACACCACGGGAGAGACCCTCGGTACCTTTTAAATGGCGTTAGTTGAAGCTCCCAGAGACAGTAGGGCCGCACTCGATGGGTTCCCAGATCTGGTAGGGAACGACACGGTGGCCCGAGCAAGGGAGAGGAAGGGATGAAGCTTACCGTCCATGGCAATAGTACGGACGATGTTCTCACCCAAGTGTTGCTACAAGGAAATCATTAGCTTTGTTGCGATTTATATCAAGGTTCAGCCAATCGGATCACGTACAGCAACCTCCAGAACGAGCTTCTGGCCGTTGTTGGTGGTGGTAATGGCGTTGTAAATGGCAGGAAGCTTCTCGCCACTGAACTTCACTGTAGTATGGCGAAAAGAAAGTCAGATACGGGTTTGATGATGATTTTGGGGTTGATAGCGATGGTTTCGGTGATGGATTGGGTCCAGGAAAAAGATTTTCGCGTGGTCCTCAATTCCGTTAGGAGTTGACAACACGTACCGTCAACGACGGCACCAATGACCTGGTGAACCTTTCCAATCAAAGTAGCGTCGGAGCTAGCGAAACGGGCAGTGAGAGCCGGGAGAGCATTGGAGCGGATGGGCTGGAAGGCGCGGGCGACGGGGGTCGTCCGGGCAAAAGCAGCCCTCCCAAAGGACCGGGCGAGACCGCTATAGAAAATTAGAAAATTAATTTCAATTTGAAAGGAGCAAGATGATTGAATGAATCATCAATTCGTACCTCTTGAACATAATGACGGTGTTGAAGAGCGAGATGTGATGAAAGGAAGAGGTGAGGTTGGAACGGGAAAAGAGGGAAGAAGAGGAAGGGAAGAGGTTGGTGGATGGGGACTGGTCGCCCTTAGCCTTTCCGGGGCGGTTTTGCCGACGATCCCGTGATGAACCGAGCACCAACTTGAGCTTTCTACAGGAAAAAGAGCTTCATTTTCTTATTTAGAATGAACTTTCTATAATCTCAACTTCAACTCTATCGTTTTTAAACATCCATTGCCAGTAATTTCGTGTGGTGAGGTGGTGACCAAGGGAAGCTGAGCCCGTTGCCCTGGAATTCGCGCGCACACACCGGGGCTTGGCGGCCGGGTGTAGGGGAGCCACAGCGTATTTTCTTCTAATTGACATTCCCCCGGAGAACCTTGGAAACCTTTGTGATATTTAAAGAAGTAAGCTAGCAGTTACAGTGTTCAAATGGTCTATATCAAGGAAAGTCAATGGCCCTTTGGTCCGAAGATCGGAAAAACTCTGACGTGTTGGGTCAACCACATCCGGGTAGAAAACATAGGACTTGGACGGAGTATAAAAAAAAAAAAGATATGCACCCAAGTGAGGTCTACCCTACATTGGATTCATAGAATTTAGAAATTTTGTTCACTAAATTCATTGTAATGATTTTGGATTCATATTTAGATTGCTCTGTACGGAGTAGTTTTATTGCACATCTCCATAGAAACTAACCCTTATTGTGATCCTGTTACCCTCGAAATCGGGTTCCCGCAGGGATTCTCCGCACTTTAGTTGGTTCCGAATCACTCCGTAGACCACGCCATGTCGGAGTGTAGGGCACATTACACGCAATTTAGATTCTATCATCACACCAAAATCATGCTCTATGGCTACAAAAGAGATACATTGATTATTGCACAGTACGGGATACACGCATTTCTCAATGCTTGCCAAAAAAGATGGAATGGGGGACCAGTCGAAGACCGCGCGCACGGGCGGAGGCCCTACAAACACATGTCGAACATGGCTATGGAAAGAGTAGCTTGTAATAAAATCGACATTCTCGACGTGCGATGGGTGCCGCCGTCCGTCCTGCGTGGATATCAAATCATTCCCGGTCAGGCAACTAGTACACCTATGACTTCTCAGCAGGGGGGCTCTGGATGAAGCCCTTGCCTTCGTAACCCTCTTTGCTGACGCCGTGGATGGGGTTGATGTGCTCTTTCTATAGTCAGATAGGTTAGCATCGGCGAAGTCCGCTGGGAACAGAGACTTCTCCCGACCGTCGGCGAGAAGACGGAGTGATACGCACCTTGGCATATTCGTTGGAGGCCTCTTGCCACTCCTTGGACATAGTTCCAGGCTGCTTGCCGGCAAAGGCGTGGGCGGCGTAGAAGACCGCGACGGAAGCAACAAGGAGCTGAGTTACCTTGACAAACACGCGGAAGCCCTCACCCTTGGGGGCCTGGGCGCGGGGGCCGTGGGCGCCGAAGGCAATGTAGTAAGCTGTAGTAGAGGAGGTATTAATGTCAGCAAAGAAAAAAAAATTTTGACTACTGGTAAAGACAGTTGTGGAGGTTCGGGGTGGTCGGGCTATCCCGAGACACATAGCCTCGGAAGCCTTAGGATAGTCGAAGCGAGAGGCTGTCTTGAAAGCCCGCCCGTTCTAGGGATACCACATACCGGCCTTCTTCTCCTGGAGGGTCATCTGTTGCCAGTCGATCTTCATGCGGTCACGGAGCTGCATCCAAAGTTCGGCCTGCTCCTGAGGCGGCATGACCTCCCAGCGCTTCTCGATGTTGGCGAGGGTAGGGTTGGGGACAGCATGGCCCGAAACAGCGCGGGTCTGCAGGGCGTTCACAGAGGCAGCCGGGGCAGCACGGATGGCCGCGGTGCTGCGAGGGACAGCGCGAGAGACGGTGCGAAGATACATTGTGCGGCAGGCGGGAGGTGGCAGCACCACGTCGAAATCGCGTTCAATTGAAGGAATTAGAGGGAAATCGGAAGGTTGAAAGCCAGAGAGCACGCCAGGGCACGGCTTAGGAGAGAGTGGAGGAGGTTCGTGGATGGGGTAATGACTTGAAGACGTTTCTTGTGGTTTGAGATGGAAAGGCGAGGATCCGGTCGGGACTAGTGCGGTTTTGGTTTGGCCGCCTTCTCATTGGCTCCTCGCCCAAACCGGCTCTCCTTGCCAGTGAGCTTCATCGCCATTCTCAGCCATATGGCATGATGTTGATATCCTTCGAGTGGCTTATGGAGGTTTTTGATTTAAACTTTTGATCTTTCTCTATTCGCAAACTTCACCATCAGTCAGCCGCTCAAGTCTCTTGACCATCGTCGGAATCGTTAGCCGCTTAAAAACTAGCCCAGGCAAGCACTAACTTCGCAGGAAAAGCTAGGAATTGTCCAGTTGCTTAACTATTTTACATTAAACACCACACATCCCGAAGTCTCGTCGCCCCCTCCCCCCTTGTGCAATATGACCAACAGACAGCAGGATGCGATGGCCAGTTGACCAAATACCCTCAATTTGAGGTGGAAATCCAGAAAGAACGATGGGAACAAACTGGAAGCGAAATCAAGACTTTTAAGGCCTCTCGCGAAACGAATACAAACACGGGCCAAGTCGTAACGGTCTTGCATTGCAACTAAGAAAAAGAAGTGGGAGAAAGGTGTGCAGAGAAGGTTATGAATTGATCGTTCCGCGGCGCAGTCAAGGGTGCACCCCTATCAGTCGCGCAGCCCGGATCCAGCCGGCGCTATCATCTATGCCTTTCCACCGCTGGCCTCCTTCAGGACTGTCTTCCACTCGATATCGGACTTGTCATCGGCGTGGATGGAAGTGACGACGTTGAGGGCGTTCTTGAGAACCTCGCGGGTGCTGGCATAGATCATGGACCACTGAGAATGAAATTAGTTATTGATAATTAGGTCTGAGGCTGAGCTTGAGCCAGGATCTGGTGGGGATCTTACAAGAGTGGGGGTCTCGCTAGGCACCCAGGAGATGAAGACAATCTTGGATCTGTGAAAACAATCAGGTCAGCAGGGTGTCTGAGAACAATTGGGAGGATGGGATTGCGTACCGCTTGCCCTCGCCGGCAATCTCGTACTCGACATCGTAGACAGCGTAACGAGGGGAGGCGCGGCCCTGGCTGTCCTTGGCATCGGCGAGCTCGTTGCGGAAGACCTCGTAGTCCTGGTCCTTGCCGACGGAGTCTACGACGACCGACTTCTTGTCATCGGCGATCTTGTAGATGATGTACTTGGTCTTGCCGTGGCTCCGGCTGAAGTCTTGGAAGGCAGTGATGCAGTCATCCTGGATTTGAACACTGTAGGGGGCAGATGTCAATAAATAGTGAAAATGAGGGGAAACCGGTTACGAGCGTGGGAACTGATAGCGACTTACCCGGATGCGAGCTGCGCGATACCATAGTCAGCACTGGATGTTGTGTACCATGGGTTTAGGGGTCAATACTAACCGACATGATGGCTTTTGTAGATGAGGGAGACAAAAAAAGGACGGGGCTGTCTAGCGCTATGTCAGTGGCTGAGATGGCCAAACTCAGGGGGTCCCTCGAGGTTCTTGGGTTTGACAGGGGAATTCAAAGTAATATGCACACCAATGACTTACAGGGATTGAAGGAGGCGGATATCAAGCAATGGAGACGGATGAGACGGGGAAGATGGAGTTTGAGGGGTGAATTGTTTCCCAGGTGTTGCCATGGCCATAGTGGGGTGACTGCACGTGATATCAGACTTTTGATGTTAAAAGTGCTCGGTACCTGTTTACCAGTTTAATGGCGCGTAGGCAATTGACCTACAAGGGTTTGTCTTTAATGTTTCTAACATTTATGAGGCTGTTGGGGGATTTCCCTCGAAAATGAATGAGTTGATTTTTGAATGGTGGCTTTGTTCTCACGGGTTCTTTTTTCTTTTACGTCCTCAAAGTACCAAGTACTTCGTACATTACATACATCCGGGGTTGATCTCACATCATCTTGGCATGTAGATTGCATACCATTTACGGAGTACATCTGTTTGAAGCCTCTCCAATGTGGGTGTCTGCGGGCTAACACTGGCCTTCAACCATGGGACACGTCAGTGGCTATTTTTGTCCTGGCCCACCATGTACTTGGCTTTGTACACATTGAGTTACTGTGTCTACCTCTTGTTTTGTTGTTTTCTTCTATTTGAATATATAACTTGGCAAGAGTAAGAATATAGCTTCACTGCCAAAAAAACACCCCCCTATATTAATATGTTAAATTGCAACCGGGTACAACATAGTGTGGTTATGTAAAGCTCCATACCCGACCAATGTGTACATACGACCGACAGATCTCAAGAACCGATAGATTTTATATCCGAAAATAAAATTTCTCATTCCTCACTTTATTAACGACGTTGAATAAGGTCCAGCCCAAGTATGCAGATACGTATCACCCCCAACCCCGGCCCAAGACCTAGATGCATACATTTGCAACCCAAACCTAAACCTTCGCCGCCGGCGCAAACTTAGCCCTCATCTTATCCGCAACCAGCTTCTCATCATAAATGAAATTAACACTCTCCTGAGCAATGGTCGCTTCAGCCCAACGCTTGAACCTGGGAGCCTGCTCCAGCAAAGTCAACAACTTAGCAGAAACAAGACCATGCTCCGGCTTGGCGAAAGTCAAAATCCGCAATAAGAATGAGCCGGACTGAACCTCGGCCAGAGTCAGCTTCTCACTACCACCAAAGAACGGGCCCTTGCCATCCGTGTCTGCCAAAAGGGGCTCAATCTCCTTCACGACGGCAGCGATGAGCTGCTGGGCGGCGGCATCGCGCTCGGTTTCATCGGCAGCGCGGATACTGGCGAATAAGGATGGCAGGACTTTACTGAAGAAGGCGTCGACGAAGAAGTTGAGGCGGGCGCGGTAGAGGGCGTTTTCAATTGGTGATGAGGGGGGCAGGAGGTGGGTTTGGTGGGCGTCTGCGAGGAATTGGGTGACGATGCCCGATTCGGTTATGATAGTTCCATCGTATGAGATGGTGGGGACGAGGCCGCGCTGTTGAGGATGTTAGTATATAGTTTGTAGATGGATGCGCAAGTATGTAGTGTAAGTTGTGTGTATATGAAAGAGTGCACATGTGAGCGTTGGGAAGAGTGTTTGTCACTTACCGGGTTGATCTCCAAAAACCACGGCTCGCGCGGTGTAGTCAGATCGATTGTGACTTCTTCATACTCGAGGCCGATTTCCTTGAGGGCGATGTGTGCGCGGTGGGCCCAAGGGCACATGCGGTTGGTGTAGAGAATGATCTTTGGGGAGGACATGTTGGATTGGTATGCGTCAATCATGCAGGAGTATAGGTTAAAGAAGATAGATAAATGGAGGAAGAGACGCCATTATAAAAGACATTGCGAATCGAGGGGTTGGATTAGTAAAATTAAGTTCGATTGTTAATCAGTCGCGAAACCGAGCGTTAACTCCGTTCTTCTCCGTTTCCGGCCAAGAATTGTGATGTGGGGGACCTGAAGAAATTGTTTCAGGGAAATTGTTTGGTTCTTTTTCTACATAACTAGGTTATTAGAGAAAATGTTGCACCTTAAAAATGGTCTTTGATCAAATTGGTCTAATTGAGTACATACATTAAAGCGTGCACTAGGTGTCCGATATCTTCTAACCAAACCACCTTCAGCGGCGGTCATCCATCGGGGGTAAAGAAGTAGTGTCATGTGGCAAATCGATGTGTAGTACCTAAAAAGACCGGAAACGTGTTATAAGAGCAAAAAGCACATTGATCGAGCCCGATGCGCCAGCGACCAGTTTCACACGAATCAAGTGGGAGAAGATAGTTGTAAAAAATTGTCAATATAAGGAGGGGGGGTATATCAAATACGAGTATTAAATGAACATTGGGCCAATCGCTGAGATCGTTCACGAGGAGGATGGCCAATCGGGGCGTAAAGAGTACTGGAAGACGAAACATAAGAATCAACACGCTGTCGTTAAGACGTAATTTTGCATGAAAACGAAGAATTGAAAGAATTGAGAACCGTGCTCAAACTTCCTCTTCTGCCTGGCCGCCGTCGATGATCTTGTGCCAGTGCTGCGGTAGACAGATACAGACCAAGGGGAAAGCCTTGATCTCGCCTGATGGCATGGGCGACGAACGACCATACATACGCGAGCCACTCGAGACACCACTGTCGCGCTGTTCGCGACGATTCATGTATTGGTCCTCGGCACGTTCGAGGAGTCGCACACCCGTCGCCCAGCCATCGTCCCAAATGCCAATCACTCTCAACATCTCACCTCGGTCAAGTTCGAATTCGTCCCCTGCGCGTGGCGAATACGCCCAGAGAACGGCAACCTTGTCCCCGGCGTGAATCTCATCCTGAGAGTAGTAATCCCGGAAATAGGACAGCTGCTCAGATCGACCACTGGTCACTGCTTCGGGGGAAGAGTATTGGTTCGTCGGACCAGAGCGAGGCGAGCTGTCGCTTTCTGCTCCGGCCATAATCGAGCTGCTCGAGAGTGAGCCATGGCGTTTCCCTGTCACTGGGGGGATTCTCTTGGACATGGCTCCTGGACTGGCGCCCCTTCCTTCAGAGTCTGACAGGTCGCTGTACTTGGTCGCGCCGCCGTAGATCGCCGCGGAGGTGCGCGAATAGGCAGGCGATGATGAACTGGGCATTTCGCGCAGTGCAGACATCCGTGTGACTCGGCCTCCTGGAACCATATTATACGACGTTGGACTTGGGGGCTGTTGCATTAATGGCAATCCACCCTTTCTTTGTGGGTTTGGTTGGTTGAGCGTAGCTTCATTTTGGGTCTCACGACGACGGCGGCGCATGGAAATGCAAAGGAAGGCGAGGAGAGCACCTAGAATGGCGGCTCCTACAACGGCGCCAATTACAATTCCAGCAATTGCGCCGCCGGACAAGCCGTGACTAGGTGTTCTAGTGGCGGAGGGCGAGGGCGTAAGAGGTGGTAGAGTAACAGTCGGTACTGCGACACCGCGACAGCGGCTTGTGGCGTTGGATTTCGTGCAGCAGCTATCGGTGCCGTTCGCACAAAAAGTGCATAGACCAATGATATTGGTCGCAAAGCCGCAATTGTCAGGCTCATTTACGGCTCCCTCGACACAACCCCCAGAAAGGGCATTGGATGGTTTTTCGCAGATAGTCAATTCGGCATAGATTAGGTCCGTGTAGTTCTTGTCGCTCTTGGTGCACAAGTTTGTATTTGCCATAGTCTCCTGCTCACTCCGGGCCCAACGTGCGCAAGTATCGACACAAATTGGTACCGAGTCAGCCGCGGAAAGTTTGCAGGCAGATATGGAGCTTTGCACGACACTGCTACACAGAACGCTAGTTGTATACTGGGCATAATAGTTGTTGGGCGCGCTCGAATTCATGCCTTGGCATCCCAGTAACTCATCATACCTGGGAGCGTCTGTTAGTGACTCTACTCCCGATCCATTGATGCCAACACATACTTTATCGTGATATATGATCCGTTGACATATTCCTTTAATGCATTATCGAAATCCGTCAGATTCGATACGCCTTTAAGGAAAGGGCTAGCAGCGCACTATTAGCAATTGTTTCCCCCATGTCTAGCCAGGTGGGTTTCCACTTACAAGTCCGCATATAGACTAGAACTGGTTGAAATGGACGAGCTGCTCCAGGCAGAACAGACACTTGACCCCTCGAGGGAAATGCAAGTGTTCGACATGCCGGACAAAGTTGGCGGTCTGCCTTATGAATGGACCCCTTTGGATTCAATTGGCACGGAATGAGTCAAGTTGCGATTGACAAATATCTCAAGCGGGATGCAAATCGAATATCCGAATCGGAGAATTGGATCGAACGCTCAACCCCAGGTCGAAACCCAAGCTCGATAAGAAAAACGCGCCAAAGGTAGGTAAACGAGTGACTCGGGGTTCTGCCCGGCAGAAAAGGTCAACCGCGCCCCGTAGGCCTGAATTCGCAAAGGGAGAAAGAGACGACAAGACGAAGTTCTAAAATCGGAAAGACACGATCAGGCCTTCAAGATGGTCTGGGCTTGTGGGTAACAGGGGGGGGGAGATGAACTGCTGGGAAAAAAAAAGGCAATTATGAAACACGGGAAACAGGCATAATCGGCTGTACAGGTCCAGACACGCTAAGCTCAATCTTGCTATTTTCTGTACGGAGTAGAGACAAGGACGAAGTAGAAGACCTTGATGATAAAAGGGGGTGGGGGGGGGAAGTAGTTGTTCCGCGTTGACCTTTTTTTCCTCTTTTTTCTCCGGGCTCTTTGGGTATCAAGACTCGATTGGGACTGAATCTCTACGTTTTACGTACGTTATACTAGAAAGTACAACAATAACAACAGTTCTCGAAGTCTGTGATTGGCAATGGCTGTTGTCAAAGTCCGAGTCCCTCTGTTCATCACCAGCCTCGCCGTTAGCGGCTCAGATAAGACAATCGACATCACCCTATGTCGGGAAAACCTCGAAAATCTGGGGAGGGGATACATTAATTTCCCGAATTTCCCTTGCATCCTGCACAGAGTTTCGCAATAGATTTAACACATTTCAACGTTGTGGGCTATCAGTTGAGAATGCGAGGGTCTGATGTACCGAATCACGGAGTACAGGGTACCCGGCTGCAAGGCAGCAGGTACACGACAGTCGCATGTACAAGATACATTACTAACGGGGTACGTGTCAGTCAAAGCTGCCCCCCGCTTGGGCAGATATCTGACAAGTTTGATTTTTATAGATCATCAGATCAGTAAAACGTGCTGTACACTTTACTTTGAATCAGGTAGATTGAGTATATAAACAGACATACAATCTGATCAACTACAAGGCCCTAACTAGTTGACTGACGGTGTAGTTGTAGGGCTCTGACTGTCCAAGATCATGTGACCATTGACATCATCTGATCTGGACCAGGCTGCCGTCAGACAATCTGCGTCTAAACGGTCGAGAATCTCTCTGACCATTGCCACAAACTTCCGGTGTACAAGATACAAAATCTCAACTCACATTTCCTAGATCTTAGAAACACTCTGAGCCATGTGTAGCTCCGACATCTTCCTGGCGGTCCTCGCCGTCTTCTTCCCACCTATCGCAGGTAAGTTCAAACCCGTAAACCAATCCGCCTACGCTCGATAATCTTAATGTTAACCAAACCCTTGCCCCAACAGTCTGGATCAAGACTGGATTCTGTACCGCAGATTCGATCATCAACATAACCCTCACTCTACTCTGCTTCTTTCCAGGCCTCATTCACGCATGGTACATCATCCTCAAGTACCCAGAACAGAACGATGAAGATGTAGCCTACGAGCCTATCCCCGGTGGCGAGAGTCAGCGTCGCGATCTGGAGAACGGCAATGCTACCTATTACTACGTCTCTCGCCAGCCTATCCAGCACCCCTCACAGCGCGGATATGGCACCGTCAACCCTCAAGGCCAGGCGGCTGCTCCGGCGAACAAATCCCACAACCAGACTGAAGACAGTGGGAATGGGGGGAGCAGCAGTGCGCCCCCACCACCTACCTATGCAGAAGCCGTGAAGGGTGATCATAAGGTGCAGAGTCAGGATTGAGAATGTGGCTCGACTCGTTGGCTGTGCTTGTCGGTGGCGTCCTCGGCTCGCCATTGTCTCTCATCACGTCACTTTGCTCCCGACGCGGTTGTACTTTCCATACCCCTCCGCTTCGCTGTTCTGGTACACGCACTTCCTGGGAACTGCATCGTTATGTTATGACTTGACGAAGGAATGTGCTATGTAATTGAATTTTTGATTTTTGTTCACTGGTTGTGCATCGTCATCGATTGTATAATTTTATTTTATCCTGCAAGGCTGGGGGGGCGTGATATTACCTTAAAAAATTTATCATAGCCCTAGGAGGCATTTTAGTATTTATTGGACCTCTGGTTTAACAAGTCTTGAGTTACCAATTACTCTAAAAACGCTACCTAGATCATTTCCGCGCCGGCGACTTGCTATCTGGTCTCTGTGTTCTCCGCATGTTGCGAAAATTTTCGATGAAGCTTCAGGATCCAGCCTCCTACATTGGCATTACCTAGGGCTGAGGTTTCACACTTTTCACTTGCGAGCCGCCATCTCCAGAGCACCTAGCAAATGCGATATATTCTATGTTTCAACCTCAACAACCACGTGCTTGTTCTATCTAACAACTCAACGATGGCTATTGACAAGACTTGTCAGCAATATAAACAACTTTCAAAGCCATCCAAAAGGTATGGTATCATTGTACCCAGAATTACACCAAGATTCACATGATTATAGGCTAGAGATATATGTCTCAAACAGTGACATAAACTTCCAAAGAGGCTACATAATACCCAAAGGGCATTGAGCTAGAAGGAAAGGATATTAGAGATCGACGTTTTTGAGATATCAATTTGTAATCTATCGCAACTACTAACTAGTTAGTTAGGTCGTTCGAGGTGGCGGCTGGCTTGTGACAAACGTGATTTAGCCTTACATATGCCAAGATAAGGCGGGTCAAGAATTGTGACGTTTAGCGTTCGCTAACACAGGATTTTTATCGCGACTAGAACTGGCATCAGAGAGCGAAATGAGTCTGTGTGTGGTACAAAAGGTGACTGCTTAGGTCCTAGTGTCACCCTATCTTGGACCACGTTTCCCCTATATTGGTTTCTACATGAACAAGCCTTGTTCAAGACTTGAGCACATCTGATTTCTGCGATTTACGAAAACAACACGTAAAGGCACAGATTTCGGTCGCCGAGGACTCGGTGGCTGTCACGCCTACAAGGAGCGATTTCGAAAGGATTAGGTCTGTGGGTTACTTCAGCGCCAGCTTGACATGCCATTGTGGCTCCCTTGGTCATCAGCCTTGTTTGCATCTTGTCCTCAAATCTTTTAATGTGCCAAACCTGGGGATGCTTCTATTAAGTCGCTTAATTCTGCGACTCAGGCTTCCGGTAATGCTGGGGTCCTTTTCCTCGAGGAGGTCAACCGTGGTGTAGATATATTATACGGCGTGAGTTTAGGGGATGCACTGTTGTTATGCTTAGCCATGGGCTCGATATGGTTGTGGATCTTGACAAGGGTTTAGTAATGAATGAAGGCAGGCTTGTGGAAGAGGGGAGCCGATGCAATTGACGAGGGGGGCAGTCGGTGTCGAGAGCTGTGGATGGTTGGGAAGCATGGAATTATCTCGGCATCTGACTAAAAGACCTCTGTTGTTTTTGCTCTCAGCCTATATCTGAACCCGATGATTAATTTGTTCCTCTTTACGGAGTACTACAGATCCTTCTTCAGAACTTGAGTGTTTTTGCTGCTTAGTGTGTGTCTTGGCATGTGTGTTGTAGCCGGAGCTATGGATGTCGGTGGCAGACCAAATCCGAAGTGGGACAACCCAGGGAAAAAAAAACGGATTCACTACCAAGTCTGAAAAAAAAAGGCAATTGGATTTAAAGATAGTAAAAATTAGAATTCATTGGAAGGGTAAATTCACAGTAACTTGCGAAACTTGCTGCGATGACCTACAATCTGATAAGGCTATCCGAGGCCAAGTCCCGTCCCGAGATGATCCTCAACCCTCTCTTTGCACCACCACCTCTTCCTGCCACAACCCTGTGGCCCTCGTTTTGGCCATGCAGTCTATGCCACAGCTGCTTAGGCAATCACTTCGGTCAAGCCTTCAACTCACAAGCACCTCCTCCCCCGTGCGAGCGCACTTCCGCTCTGCATTCTCCGTCACCAGCTTGACTCCGCGGAGCTTCTCCGCCTGCGTACAATGCCAATTCCGCCGACAGCTAGGCTTACACTCGGTCTTTAATGACCGGCAGAAGTTTTCCGCTGATACCGAGAGGTTAATCAGGGAAAAAGAGAAGGAATTGGCCGATCTGGAGCTCGCCTCGCGCGACCCGGTCCCCATCCCAGGTTTGGAGGTGGGCAGTTCTCTCGATTCGGTACCCCCTGTCACAGAGACCGATCAGACCACCGTACAACCACAAACAAAGGAGAATGAAAAGGACCAATCAGCTCCACAAGAGGAAGATGCTAGTGCTGCTGGTATGAGGAGCGGAGGCCTGCCTTCTTACCTGGAAAGCCGTCGGTCCAAATGGTCCAAGCAGTTCAGCACAGTGATGGACAATGTGCAATCCAACCTTTTCGTAGCAGGCCAACGTTTAAATGACTTCACTGGATACTCCAGCATCGAAGCTCTGAAGAATGATATCCAGTTCCACGGTATGTCGCATAGCACCACAGCCCAAACCTGATACCGCGAGACTCAAGACACTTATCTCACGAATATATACAGAGAACCGACTCCGTACCGTCCGAGAGAAGGTCAAGCAAGCAAAAGAAGACTACACTGCAGCGATAAACCGCCGCTCAACCTCCCAACGTGAAGTAAACGAGCTCCTCCAACGCAAGCACGCCTGGTCCTCAACAGATCTGGAGCGATTCACTCTCCTCTACCGCAATGACCACACAAACGAGGTTGCCGAGACCGAGACTTCGCACGCACTATCGGCCGCAGAGCGCGAAGCCGAAGAAACAGCCGGCCAATTGAGCAAGAGTATCCTCTCGCGATACCACGAGGAGCAAGTCTGGTCCGACAAGATCCGCCGCATGTCAACGTGGGGAACGTGGGGTTTGATGGGTATGAATGTCCTGCTATTTCTTGTTATCCAAATCCTCGTGGAGCCGTGGCGTCGGAAGCGACTCGTCAAGGGCTTCGAGGATAAGGTGATTGAAGCGTTGGAGAAGGAGAAAGTCCTGAACCGGGCTACGTTTACTGAGAACGTGGCTTCGACCTCGGCGCTGCCGACTACCACTACTATCCTTCCCGAGGTTCTTGATTCTACCGATGAGAACTTAATCGAGATCGCTCCTTCTCTTTTGACTGAGCCGAAGCTTGCTACGGCGGAGATAGATGCATCTGCTACTGGGTCTACTGTCTCGGTGACTGACGCTTCTGCCGCCCAGTCTCTCCAGACACGTCTCTTGAAGATTACTACGCCCGTTCTGTCGCTCGAGTTCTGGAGGCAGGTGGCCAACGAGTTCTTCAGTAACCGCAGCATTGTTGCCTCCCAATGCGATCTCACCATTGTGGCTCTCCAGAGTGCTGCAGCTGGCGCAGCTGTGACAGGCCTACTCTTCGCCCTGATCGGGTCTAGGTAAATTAACATTTCCTTCGAGCATGTTATATTGCATTGCCAGCGAGAACTGAGCATCTGGTTCATGTTTGGGATTGTCATTTTGATAAAAACTTGCCCTTTTGCTTGGGGTGGTTAAACTTGTACATACAATTGAGAAAAATAGATAAGCAGTTGGATATGACCTTGGCTACTTCAGCAATATCTGGAAGGTAGATCCATCAAAATAGCGAATCATGGGTCTTGTTGCTTTAACAAAAGAGAACCAAGGAAGTAAACCAGAACAAACGAAATAACATGACTAGGTGAGACACTAAATAAAAAACCTATGTACTTAAGGAGACCATAGGGCATTCTCTGAACTCCACAGCTCGTGCGTTTGCCATGGAGAAAGGCCAAGATCCAGGAAGATAGGGACAAAGGAAGAAAGAGGCTCATTTTTTTGTCCACATTAAAACACAGGTCTCTTAATCTTGACAAGACACACGGCCGCTCTGTCTAAAAAAAGGGAAAAACAACACAAGCACAAGCACATACACAGATAGATAGGACACACAATCCGTCCATCTTATCTCATTGACACATCTAATGAGACAATCCGCCTGTTGGAGGCGATAAAAAAAAAGGTGTATTCGAAACTCACTTAACCGATAACCAGGGTGTCATCCTCGGGGAAGCTGTAAGTGGGAACCTCCAGGTTCAAAGGGGCAGGGCCCCTGCGGATACGACCAGAGATATCGTAGTGGGAACCGTGGCAGGGGCAGAACCAGCCGCCGTAGTCACCGGCCTCACCGATGGGGACACAACCCAAGTGGGTGCAGACACCTATGGGAGGAAGTAAGGTTAGCATATTGCTGCTTGTTTGTTGCGAATTAGATATTCACTTACCGAGCATGACAAGCCACTCGGGACGCTGGACGCGGTCCTCATCGGGCTGGGGGTCACGGAGACCCTCCCACTTGGCCTCACGGGCCTCATCGATCTCGCTCTGGGTGCGGTGACGGATGAAGACGGGCTTACCACGCCACTTGATGATGACCTGTTGGAAAGGAAGTTAGATAGGGATACCGGGTACTGAGATCTGTCGGATGAGATGGCGAATGGAAACACGTACGTTCTTGCCCTCGGGGATGGCACCGAGAGAGATCTCGACCTTGGCCTGGGCCAGGACATCGGCGGAGGCGGACATGTTGACCAGGAAATCTGGAGAGAAAGAATAATATCAGTCGTGTGTTCAAAGTCATCTGAATTTCCCCGATTATTCAAGAATTTTGTTCAATCGCTGCATTCCATGCGAAGTTTTGTTCCCATCTCTTTATGATTCGATGATTCCACAAAAACCTACCCTGGACAGTAGCCTTGGCACCGACAGCGGACGCCAGACCGAGGGAGCCGGCCATGAAGTAGGAGAAGACCTGGTTGGAACGGGGCGAGCTGTTGGACTTGTACTTGCTGAAGTTGGGGATCTTCAGGGTCGAGCCACGCTCGTTAGCGCTGGCGAAGGGGGATTCGAAGGACGACTTCGCATCGGCAACTCCCCTCCGCTGCTGGCAGGAGGTGACGGCGGCGCGGGAAGTGGGCAGCTGCTGCCGAGCGACGGTGCGCAGCAGAGTGCTGGAAGCGGAGGAGAGCGACATTGTGAGGGCAATTGACCACGGAGGGAATTGAGCCGCGAGTGGTGGAGAGCGATGTGAGGATAGAGGGTGGATGAAGGCGGAAGTTGAAGTTGGAGCCAGAGCTTTCGCTAGCGATCGGAATCACGGGGCTTGTCATTGGCTGATGAGTTCCCGTTCACTCCCTAACAAGAAAAACATTCTACTTTGATACCATTTGAACATAACTATATTTCAAGTTGTTTCTTTGATGATCTTGATTAATTATTGAGGTTTCTGCTAAAATTGGACCCGTCAACTGTACACTGTCTCATTTTCTTTCTTGTTGATATCTAGCCCGACCCAATGCGACCATACAAATCCCCAAACCAATGCGCAGGGAAACCCATCAGAAAACTCCTATGCAAATTTCAAGACTCAAAAGAACAAGGGACAATAGAGCGCAATCAGTCTTGCATTTCCACATCACGGTCTTGGGTTCCCATGGGGTCGACTGTTCGGTCTGTTATCAACGCGCTTACAGGGACCATAGGCCGAGGAACCGACGGAGATGTTGTCTTTGAGTTATCTCTTTGTGGGGTGATGTCTCCTGTGCCGGTACCGTTTTCTAGTGCCGGAGGTGCACCGGTACCGTTGAGTGTACGCTGGCCCTTCTCCATGGCGGTTTGATTCGCCGCATCCTTCGCTTTCTTCTCCTTGAATTGTTTGTAGGTCGTAGTCTTAGGGATCACGTCGGAAAGGAACTCAAGATTGTCGGTGTGTGATACTGCCGAAGCTATTGCACATTAGCATGCTGTCCGACCTCTTGCCAACCGTAGGCATGATAGGCGTAACCAACCGAGATCTTTGTACTGAACGGTCTTGCGTGGTTTTCGCTCGGATTTGACCACGTTGTGTCCCTGCTCAGCAAGGTATTGGATGAACATCTCCTAGATTCAGGATTAGTTGATGTTGGAGGGATTAGGTGGAGAGTGTGCCGCACGGTAGCCATTGCAATAACGAAGGTTGCGTTGTTCGAACATTGAACGATATCTTCGTCCAACTGGATGATCTTCTTAATTCGAGCAACTATAGAGATGCGTTACTATGTTAATCCAAAGTAGTCATAGTGTCTGGGACGTACTCGGAAGTGCGCTTTGTCCTGTGATCTCATCCGGTTCTCCCACTGTTTTTGGAGCCATGGTGTTTGATTCAGGCGGAAGAAAGTATTAGTAGGACAAAAGTATACAGGTCGCAGCATGCACCAGTCAAATATCCCCGTTGTAGAAGCAAGTGGGCGCGAGCGTGTAGTCGAGGAGGAGTAAAACGCGTGGCCGCGTTATCTCAGTACGGTCCCTGTTATCGATCCATGGGTACTTGGCGACTTCGCTTTGTCACATAATCTAATTTTAAGAGCTCCATTCACCTCTCCTGAATTACCGATTATAGAGGTGTTGAAGAGAAACACCCCGGGGGGATCTGGCTTTGAATTCGATAGTTCCTCCTCTCACAGCGAATTGCGCGACGTCCATCACGGACACATGACAGATCATCGACTCAACCTTAAATCGACTATGCTGACCCTACCTCCTCGATCAATGTCATGACCTCTTCACGCCCCTCTCCGGCCTTTGATGGGTCTCTTTCAGTTTCAAGAGAGCGGCGCAGCTCGCGAAGGCTATCTGGTCGTTCTATTCCCTCCCCAATCGACCCACAAGCAGACTCCGACAACCAAGAAGCACCCGCCATCCCAGAAGAGATCAGTGGGATCAAGCGATATGAGGATTTTACCACAATAGACTGGGTCCAAGATGCGGTCTACGAGCAGTCACGGCGGCGCGCGAAACGGCGCAGTGGCACTGGATTCTGGGATCAGGAAGGCATCTTTGGCTGGAGACGGAAAATGTTCGAGTCATACGATGCAGGTCAAGCATGGCTTGTTGTTACTCTTGTGGGTATGGCAATTGGATTGAACTCGGCTGTGCTCAACATTATTACGGAATGGCTCTCTGATATCAAGCTGGGCCATTGTACAACCGCATTCTACCTCAATGAGTCTTTCTGCTGCTGGGGTGCCGAGAATGGTATGTCCAATAGGTCTTACATCAAGAACCTTGCAAACTAACACTATTTCTTGATAGGCTGCCCCGAGTGGAAACATTGGACTTCATTCTGGCTGTTTAATTATGTTTTCTATTTCTTTGGCGCGGTAAGACATATCCCCGGCTAACACTCAAGAAACTATAAATTCTTAGTCTAATTTGCGAGATAGTTGCTACTTTCATTTATTGCCGCTGTCCTGGTCAAATCCTTTGCGCCGTACGCCGCAGGCTCTGGTATTTCAGAGATCAAATGTATTATTGCTGGTTTCGTCATGAAGGGCTTCCTAGGTGCCTGGACTCTTATCATCAAGTCAATTGCCCTTCCATTAGCTATTGCGTCGGGCTTGTCTGTTGGAAAAGAGGGACCCAGCGTGCATTTTGCTGTATGTACTGGGTATGTGATATCTCGATTCTTTGGCAAATACAAGCAAAACGCATCGAAGACGAGAGAAATCTTGACTGCCTCAGCGGCAGCTGGTGTGGCTGTTGCTTTTGGCAGTCCAATTGGAGGCGTGCTGTTCTCCTTGGAGGTGAGTTTAAATGGCGCGCTAGATCTCAGTATGAAAGCTGATCGTCAACAGGAAATGGCAAACTACTTCCCCCTCAAGACCCTTTGGCGCAGTTATTTCTGTGCACTGGTGGCAACTAGTGTGCTGGCTGTATGTTCCCCACATTGTGAATTGATTCTGGACCATACCTGATCCATTCTAGGCTGTCAATCCTTTCCGAACCGGTCAATTGGTCATGTTCCAAGTGGAGTATGATCGCACATGGCACTTTTTCGAGCTCATCTTCTTTATCGGCCTTGGTGTCTTTGGTGGACTTTACGGCGCATTCGTAATGAAATGGAACCTTCGAGTGGCCGCATTCCGCAAGAAACACCTCTCACAGTGGCCCATAACTGAGTCGGTTGTTCTCGCGGGACTCACTGCGATTCTGTGCTACCCTAACATGTTTCTAAAGATAAATATGACCGCAATGATGGAAATCCTGTTCCGTGAATGCGAGGGTGGCCATGACTATCAAGGACTCTGCGAGTACGAACCTACCTCTTCATACGCCCAAAACGGCACTACTAACTCATTCCAGATCCCAGAACAGATGGTCGATGGTCTTCTCACTAGCTATTGCGACAGTTCTTCGCACTGGTTTGGTCATTATTTCCTACGGGTGCAAGGTGCCAGCCGGTATCTTCGTGCCTTCAATGGCCGTTGGGGCTTCATTCGGCCGCATGGTTGGAATCATGGTACATGCATTACATGAATCATTCCCCCAATCGGCATTCTTCGCTTCATGTGACCCGGATGTTCCTTGCATTACACCGGGAACATATGCGTTCCTGGGAGCTGGGGCAGCCCTCAGTGGAATCATGCATCTGACCATTTCTGTAACGGTCATCATGTTCGAGCTGACTGGCGCATTGACCTATATTCTACCGACCATGGTACGTCTTCATTCGAAACGACATTGTTTCAATCAACCAGGCTGACTGTTCTTGTACAGATTGTGGTAGGCGTCACCAAAGCCGTTGGCGATCGATTCGGCAGTGGCGGCATCGCCGATCGAATGATTCGGTTCAACGGGTTCCCATTCCTAGACAATAAAGAGGACCACGTCTTCAACGTGCCTGTATCCCACGCAATGACCACAGGCCCGCTCTCAGTACCAGCATCGGATTTCCCCGTGCGCGAAGCAGAACATCTTCTAACCGACAACAAATTCCAAGGCTTCCCAGTCGTGGAAGACCGTACTTCCAAGATCCTAGTTGGATACATCGGCCGAACCGAGCTCCAATACGCCATCGACCGCGCCCGCAGCCAGGGAATGGTCGCGCCAAATGCCCGGTGCGTCTTCACCAAAGATGCAGCCGAGGCAGCCGTTGCGCGCAGGGCATCCGTTTCGCAAGGCCCTCAATCATTAGATACATTCGACGCAATCCAGAGAAGGGCAGGTGCTTCTTTTGTCGATTTCTCGCGGTATGTCGACCACACACCGTTGACCGTTCACCCGCGCCATCCTCTCGAAACGGTCATGGAGATCTTTAAGAAGATGGGTCCGCGAGTCATTCTCGTCGAGCACCGCGGTAAGCTCACTGGCTTGGTTACCGTCAAGGACTGCTTGAAGTATCAGTTCAAGGTCGAAGCCGAGGAACATACACTTGCAGCAACGAATTCGTCTGGATTCGGTGCGCTTGGTGGACATCTGCCCACTCCTGCCCCTGAAACACTGGAAGACCGCTTGTGGTGGCTCATTCAGAATGTGGCTGGGTTTGTGTCTGGTAAGGTCGCTCGCCGGCCAGTCCAGCCGCGTGGCCGCACTGTAGCTAGGCAATCGGGGTCTGCGGATATCTCAGAAGGGAGGGATGATGCGGCGGTAGAATTGGAGGACAGAGAGGATCGGCCGATGATTCTGTGAAAAGCGGGATCGCTCTGTTGACATGCTTATACGTTACGTTGATACAGAGTTATTTGCTCCATACCTGGCGTTGCTCACTCATCCACGTTCCCATCTATCATAACCTCTGGTTTGTTTAAGCTGGTGGGGCAAGGACTGGAATTTCCCATATCCCATCAGAGTAAGAGGCGCCCAATATGTTCTCAGCCCTATCGCACCTTGCTCCCGTTCAATTCGTTGATACTGAGGTTACCGGGACTAGCATCGTACTCCTTAACTTTCTTCCAAGTCCATCATTCCCTAGTTGTCATCAGTCGGCAAAGAGATGATGTTCGAGGGACAGGACCGGTTACGTGGAAAAATCAACGCAGCCCCCCTATCGAGATTCTTTCCAGCAGCTCTACAATGAATACACGATCATAAAGCTTCTGGAATGATTGAAGATTTACACGACCTTGCTTTTGAGTCAACGCAAGTTGATCCCTATGCTAAGCCCGAGACCGCTGCAGGGCTACCTACTTCTTATTCATAACTAATTTACAGTTCCGGAACTACACACTATGGTTGGGCGAGAGAAAGGTGAGTGTCCTTTGCTAAAAGCTTCAAAATTACTGGGAGTTATGTGCTGGGACCCAGTTGAGATGAGCAAGAGCTAACTAAATTTTCTACATTTCCTATATTATAGTACTTCAAGCGGTGTTGGATTGGCACCTTTTTTCCTTTTTAAGATTCTATATCTGGAGTCTCTCTTCCTTTCTTTCCCTCCATACTGCAGTAATAATCGGTTCTCCCTGGCTTCATCAGAACGAGTTGAACACCGGACCTATTTGATGCCAGGCGAAGGGACTTTAAAACACCGAATTCACAGTCTGGATTATCACCTAGTACGGTCATCTCATGTCTGTCCTCAAAAATGATGTGCCCATCTTTGTCTCCTTGTCCAATGATTTGACAAAGGATTAGAAAAAGACAGCACGTATGGTTCTTTGTTGATTTTAACGAAGCATTTGTCTACCAAACCCAGTCAACCACAACCGAAAATGCACAAGTAGATGGAAATTTCCTGTTTTCGGGCTATCCTTCCATAATCTACCAACATGGTTTCGAATCGATACCCTGCCACAGAGGAGGTCGACAAAATGAACTACGAGAAGCGATTCCTTACCGCATGCGCCTGCTTCAAGTCCTGTCTATACGAGGAGGTTCGATTCCTGAGTCTGGGAGACGGTCTCCGTTCCGATATCCTTCCAGTCCTCCACAAGCTGGCGAAGCTGCTGAAGGCTATCTTTGTCCTAGGCGAGGAGATGGCACGGACATGTCCGAACTGTCGCACTGTCCGTAATCGGCCGACGGACCACTTCCTGGCTCAGTTTGAGCGTCTGTGCCGCGATCGCATTATGGCCCCTTTGATGCAGGCCATTGCGGACCTTGAAGCGGATGAGATGAAGCCAGAGGCGGAGGCGAGCGTTGACTTTTATGTGTCTTCGGACTTGGATGATATTCGTCCGAATACTCTCTTGCTCTCTAGTGAGCCGCTGCCTCTAGACATGACTGATGGCGTTCAATTGTGCAGCCTTTCTCGCCCATGGGCTTCTTTTCTTTTCTTAATTTGTTCCATTGCTAATGATTAAACCAGGTGTATTTGCTCTCGTCTTCCATCTATACTCCCAGTGACACCAAGTAGCTATTTTTTTTTGTATCTCGAATTCCGAATCTCCAGTATGTGCCAACCAAAGTCCACACATAGTAAATAGGCGAAGTTCTAAGATCCTTCATTTCGAGAACTACTTTAGAGGTTACCTTGAAGGCCAAAAACATGGATCTGATCCCATTCCCACTTTCTTCTCTATCCCGTGACAATTCCTCGAAATTATGTCTAACTCGGTCTCTTTACTTTGTTTTCTACAAAACACACATGTCTCATATGAAATGATTGCCCAAGCTAAAATCGGACCCAAGATTCTCAAGAGGGGGCAGATGAGCCCCTCAATAACCCGGATGTCACTCAGCACATCATGTCTAGTCACATTGCTGATTCCAAGGCCCAACACCATTCCTCTACAACCGGCAGGGAGCCAACCACCCTGCCACCAAACCACCGTAGTCCGACTACTAGCCGACTCCCTATATAAGTCGACACGCGGGTCGACGGGCCTAACAAAGCAGGCCCAAGGCGAGCTTGGCCTACGGAGTACTTCAGGCCGTGCTAAGCGTGACCAAGACGTATCCTGATACAGATTCCAAACAGCATTTGGGAAATACCCCGAACCCTCACGAGCGGTAGAATTTTGATTTCGATCGGGGTCGGAGTGTTGAAGACAAAGGGACATTATAAGGATAATGCGCTGCGATATACCACGCTTGCATTTTGATGTATGTGATTTGCACTGTACTGTTTAGGAATTCTGCGTGGTCTCTAACTTTATGTACAATGCAAGGTATATGATCATCTTTCCCTTTCTGTAGGGACCTGGTATAAATGGAAATTGGTCGCAAATCACTTCGCATTCCGGCCAAGGGCGCTTGCAATGTCCGTAGCCGATCTCTGTGTTGGTCCCAGGTCTTGTCCGTACAGGATGCGAAAATAGACCTCGATCAACATAGCATTTTTACTCTAATACTGTAGAGTCCTCTATGCACATATACCGAAGAAGCACATTGAGCCTTGCTCTAAAGAACAAAAATTGGGGCTTGGACTCAGCATTCCTCAAGCCCGTCCAAGACAGTGCACGCATGGAATTCCCAGATATCCACTATGAATCACATCTTACTCGTCAGCTCTTGACGATCCTGTCGCTCAATTGTGATTATTTATCGTAAAATCTGCAAGGTCTATCAGATCTCACTTAAACCCATTGTCCTCTCCATTACACATTTGAAACATCTCGCATCCCAACCCAGACCACCTCTTCTCAATTCCCCAGCCTGACAACAGCAAGAATGGCAGAACACACCAAACACCCAGAGCCAACACCCAGTACGCCATCCACCCCTCACATTCCCATACAGCACCCAATAACTAAACGATTAGGACCAGCCTCAATCTTCAGCGAAGCACCAGAGGTCGTCTCCGCAGAGCATCAACACAAAGGCCCTGTGAGCCCCTGTTCCAAAACCTATTTACCAGCCGGCCAGTCCCTCATATCCACCCTGTACTCCAGCCACACCCCACCCACAATACATGGCCCCCCAGAAAAACAATACCCAGACCAGCCTGACTCACTTGGCCAAACACAGGCCCACGACGCGTTGACACCAATCTCTGCTCTACCCGAGAAGGCATACCAAGACCAGGCCCTGTCCCCGTACTCTCAGACACAAGCACACCTCCAGGGCTGCCCGCAGCAGTTCTATGCGCCTTCTGGTCATCCTAGTGGATATGCTACGGTCGTACCGCTGCACTGTGTCCAGTCTGCGCCGTGTCCGGTTGATTGTCCTGTTTGTGGAAAGCGGGAGATGACTAGTGTTGAGTTTGTTAATGGTGGAACTACGCAGTAAGTTGGGGTTTTTTTTCGTCCGTGGAAAAGTGCATTTGGTGGTTGACTCGTTGGTATAGTGGCTGGGCTGCTATTCTTTGCATGTGTTTCTGTCTCGGCTGTATCCCTTACTTGATGTCCTCGCTGAAGGATGCTGAGCATTCTTGTGGGAAGTGTGGTACTAAGCTTGCAAGATGGCATAAAAGTGGGCGTGTGAATGTTTTGCAGACTGGGGCGAGGAAGTGAGGGTCTGTTTAATTCGCTCGTCTTGTCTTTTTTGGGGGGCTCTTGATACCACTTTACGTTTGACGTCATTGGTGGAAGCTTGAGTTGGGCGTTCCATAACGACCTGAATTTATTTGAAAATCGTGTCAACTGGCAGATGTGGTAGACGTAAGAACAAGTGATACGCAAAGCCAACCTCGTATTCGATAGGGAATCCCTTTACGTGCATCTTTCGGAAAACGACAAGTCCCAGGTAGCTGTGGTCATCACATCAGTACTCTGGGCTATTGGAACTTGTCGTGGTCGGTCAGGAATGTTTAATCTTACTTGATTCTTTGTTTGAAATTGTCACCTGATCGGGGTACGTTGTAGTGGTGTGGTTCCAAGTTGGCTTGTTCTTCTTAAAGAATGATTCAGCAATGACCTAGCCAAGCGCTTGCGTGTAGAGAGCATTCAAGTTTCAAAATCGGTCTCCAATGTCCTCGTTCTATCGTTCCGAGCTCACAGCCATGTTCCCTAGATGAAGGGCCCACGAAACGTTGTGGCACCAGATCGGCTTCATGGGTGGCTGAATCTCCATATTGGATGTGGTAGCCTTGTATCTTCATGAATTCGGCACGTCTGTTCGGAGTTAGTACAATCGAAGTTAGCCAGGAAAACGGAAGGATGATGATGCTGCTGCTCACGAGATTTTGATTCCCATGTTCGATCTGGCGAACAGACATATGAATGAAGCACAAGGGCAGGATGGCTGTGTATTCTACATCTCCGAGTCTTATTGTGGGCTCTGATCCGGGGGTGTTTGTAGAGCAAACCTCAGTCTTGTTTCTCTAGGGGCATTTGGAACATTCTTCCAGCTAATCAGGAGTCTCAATGAGGTAGGATTCAAAGCAGCTTCCTTCTGCAGGCAGCCTTTGCACTCTTCTCGTTGTTTTTCCAGATGCTTTGAATGATTTCAGTCTCAAAGTTGGCACTAGTTTCTCCCTATCTTTATTTAACGCTTCCGATGTCCGCATCAGTCCGTCGCGACGAACTGCCTCACGGCGGAGAGCCATTGTTGAGCGCAGTTGGACCTGGAACCAACTTAGCGTTCATTTGACAGGTCTACAACCTCTGACATAGTAAAAGTGGGTTGAAAGTTGCGAAAGGTAAGTGCGGGCGTGCTTTTCGTCTAGCCAACAGCGGTTTAGAGAAAGGTGAGTGACTCCTGGTGGCCGGCCAGCTTGGAGACATATTTGTCACTCGAAGTCTGCCTGACTGTGATCGTAATGTCTCCCGTGCGTTACTTCTGAGCCATGAATGAAGGGTATCTCGAAGGAGCTCCTATTCCAGAAGCTGGCACCGATCAAAATTCATCGCCAAGGCGCTATCATGTAGTTCCGTATTGTCGCAAATAGGGGGCTAAGACCATGGCCAGACTTTTCAGTTCAGTTGGACATAGCTAATCACTTCAAATCTCCGCACATCAGTTCACCATCAGTGGCCGTGCGGCCAACAGTGTAGCCTTAGAAAATCAAGGTTGTGACAGTGTACATACTGGTAGAAAGATGAAGTGATGACGAGTTATAAATATGTAGGAAATGGAGAAAGATAAATGGGAAAGAGGGGGGAAGAGAGGAAGAAGAACATCTGGGAGCAGAAACTCCATTTGCCTCAGGCAGCAAGGCCTAACACATCATTGACAAGAACGTCTTGGGCATTAGAGCATCTTTCTCTCTGCGCCATCTGGTTTTGACCTTCATCAGATCGGGGTAAAGGAACCCGTCGAAAACCATTCCATCAGAAGATTAAAATGCTATGTCTTACAATTTGAGTCATCTGAGTCGGATACAATGGTTATTGTCGCCCAAGTGGACACAATGAAGATTGGAACATCACGTCTAATAGGCCAAAGATCCTTGAGAATTTGTTCTGCAGATAATTGTTCACAGACAGGAACAAAGAGTGTCGTCATGAAACCAAGACAACGCCCTAAACCCTATCTTTGTAGGATCACTTCCCTTTGTTCATCGACTCGGCTTTATACTTGCCTATTGGAGACTCCCTCAACCTCCAGATGAAGGGATATATAAAGCCCGATCCTCGCGTAGACCTCAGATGACAGCAGAACATTCATCTCATCATATCTCATCCCATCTCATATCCTCTGCGATATTCTCTTTGCTTTCTAATTCATCTGTTTCATTTCTCTGTTTCTAGAGAATGTGTGGACACACCTACCACCACTATCCCAGCTGCGGACACATTTCCAACTGGAGCATGATTAGCTGCCAAGAGTACACCAACAAGCTCCGCCTAGCCGGTCCAGAGCGCAGCGTATCCTGCACTCGGATCAAATCCTCTCACGACCTTCTCCTCTCCACCCAGCCCAGCATGTGCGTACAGTGCGAGAGGGAGTGGGTCGAGAACCTTTTCTCCCACGGAAATCATCAGACCCAAACCTCCACTTCCTACCGGAAAATTGAGGGCCTGGATGCTAACCAGATCATTGAAGTTAAGGCACGCATGGTGAGTGATTCTACCCACAACGACAGGGACACAGGTAGTACTGACCACAGCGACAATGGCCAGGTCTTCTTGGGTGCTGCCGTTGGTGATTCGAGCAATGGGGACGCGGGCGATGCTGGCCACAGTGACAATGGTCAGAATTGCTTGCGTGCTGTTGCCGACGAATCGGAGTCAGATTGCAGAAACCTGGCGTGTCCCAAAATGTCGTGTGCAACGGCGTTAAAGGTTGCTCGCACTAGTCTCGGTTTACAGGAAACAGCTGGAGATCGTGACTCTTTTGTGCCTACAATCGATCGGACCAGTCCAGATCATTTCGTCAACAGTGGGTCTGAGAAGGACAGTGTTGAGATTGAATCGCTAGACGCCGAGGGCGCTGTATGTACATCCCCCAGTGAGGCAAGCAGCTGCGACACAGAAAGTTCTGGCTCTTCGCTCTGCGGATCTTCGTTGATTAGGTATAATGCAATTAAGCTGAGAATTGAAGAATATCTCGAGAAGCGTCAACAACAGCGGGAGATGAACACTGACCACAAGCAGCCGGATGCTGGAGCCTCCACCATGGAAGAGAACTTTGACCATGCTGACGTAGATGACCCCCATGTTGCTCTGGAGGACAAGCCTCCTACAGACCCAGTTGATAACCCTGAAGTTGATCATCACTCTTGTGCCGAGCCCGCTCTTGACATTGACCTTGTGCAGCAGCGTATTGAAGCGACCATCCTGAAGCGCATCGAGGAAAACAACGAAAAGGAAGCCCAACAGGTAACCATCTCCAAGCTCCTAGACATCGCACTTCTAAAGAAGGACCAAGACGACCGGCGTGAGCGTGACCATGAGCTGGGCATCGAAGAGGAAACCCATCTCTGGGACACAGAGACCCTTGAAAGAATGTGGCAAGCAAAAGATTCCACCGCTGAAGCTACCGCTAACGCCAGCATCCCTGTCTCCCCCCACACCTGCACATCCCCCAAGAGCCAACAGGCTCCACCAACCCTAGATCTCCAGCCCCAGCCCCGGCCCCAGCCCCAGAAGCATATCTACATGGGCAGCATGTTCGCTGACCAAAAGTCCGCTTACCAACGAGGTCTGCGCGAGATCCGGCCGTACGGTAGTTACTCCGGTGAGTGGGAAGGGTTCATGCTCGCACATTCTGAAGACGACGCAAACCGCCAGGGCCTACTTGATCCAATTCACGTGCGAGGATGCTGCGCAGAGCGACGCGCCGACTTCCACCTTTACTATGGAGTGATGCATGCCCCGTCAGAGGTGCACGCAGAAAATCGTTGGCTGGAGGATATCCGCCGGATCCCTGGCGAGGATGGAAAATTCTACGGGCTGTTGCGGGCGGATAATCTGCAGCACGCCCGGGCAATGGGTCTCACTGATATCATGCATCCATGGGGGTGTTGCAAGGATGGGCTTTTTACGATGCCGGAGCGCATGCTTCATCGGTACACTGGGTTTATGTGTGCGGTCTCCCTAGAGGCGGTTGGACGTATGGGTCTCTGTGATGCAGAACCTGTTCCTGGGGAATGTGGTGACTACTATGGGGGGACTTATAATGGTTATGTTGAGGCTTATTGTGAGTTGGAGGCTTTTCAGATGGGATTGAAGGAGCCTGAACACGATAAGGATTGTTGTCCGAAGGCCATCCCCGAGGCGGGGCAGTACACGTATTACGGGTATATGTATGCAGGTTCGGAGGAGGAGGTTGTGAAGAAGGGCCTGAAGGATGTTCTGCTTGTTCCTGGATTTGATATTAAGTATTCTGGGTATTTGCTGGCGAACTCCGAGGAGGAAGCGAAGGCCTTGGGACTTTTTGAGCCCTCACATATTGAGTGATGTGCCATACGGGATATTCTTTTGGATAGCATTTTCTTTCTCCTCTCGTTAACATCTCTTTTGTATACTCAGGCAGAGAGTAGGCTATTCTCCTCCCCCCCCCCCCCCCGTTCTCTTCGTCTTAGCGAGAGCGAGAATAGAATGGACTCAAATTTGATCGCACTTGGTTGTGCCAAGCGATAGTCTATTTTAAGGGGCTTTTAAATGCTAACCTCGATTTGATACTGCCACATCCTGGCTGCTTTTGAACTAACTCCACGACTGGGCTAATATCTTGCGTCCCCATCTGATCCTGGGACAAGGCGCCGATAGTAAAGAAGATCTCTAAATTTGAAGTACGCACAAGACTGCGTCTGAAATATGCTGGAATCTGCGGGAATTAACGAAGAGAGGAAGTGCAAAAAGATTGACACTCATACACAATGTGTAAGTAACCTCAGAATATAGAGGTTTACCTTTTAGGGCTACGATCGACTCTTCACGGAACACTTTTTTTGGAGAAATTCAGTAGCGTCAAGGGCGGATTCAATACGCTGCGAAAGCTGGAAGACGTTTTTGGGAAACCGACGCGTCTTTCGTACGGCGAGGAACGTGATTGTGATCCCACTAGTCCTTTTGACAAGTTCGCTTTTGATCACCCGTCGCCGGATTCTGTGAACTCTAGGAAGACTATGCCGGCTGGGATGGTGGGGTCGATTAAGGACCGCGTGCAGTGCTGGGGTGATATTCCTGTGGGGTTTGAGGCTCCAATCTTTGATGCTGCTGAGGCTAGAGTTAAGTACCTTGTGCTTACGAATATCTGGCCTAAGTTTATTAAGGAGCACAGCATTTCGCTTGGTTCGATCGACACTATGAAGCCCGGAATCGAGGTTTAACCGTTTACTGTTTGCGGCATGCGAAATGAGTTCAAGTCGCTTTAAGATTTAGGTCGTTTTGTTAGGCCTAATGTCTTTCTTTTTTGTGTTTTTTTTCTTTCTGGCTTTGAGGTACCCCTATCTTTGCAAGGAGTCTCCTGGGCCACACACATACTAGTTAGTTCTCATGGATACCCACACACTGTGTGTTTCCTATTGATGATGTTTTCAAGTATAATTTTTTTTCAGACTAGAAGAGACCTAGCTTTCTGCCCAGTAGGGCAACAAGCTAGAATGGGATCTGGTAAAAGTCCATCGCTGGCTACGCTTGTGGCACGAAAAAGGAATCAGTTACAGCTTCAATATGGGGTTTGGCTGTAAATGAAATAAACTAAAAAATCATGACCTTTCATAAGTCGTCACTCATTCTTTGCAATTACACTAAGTCTCAAAAGCCTTCACCATACTGGCACTTCGCTCAACTCCCAACCCATACTTCTTAGCCATATACAACACACTCAAGGCAGCATTGCCAAGATGCAAAGGACAATGCAGATCGCGCGCCTTTTGTACAGCCTTCTCTAAACGAGAAGTAGCCTCATCAAGAGTCTCAGAGTCCCCATCCGCACCCTGTCCAAGCCCCTCAATCATTTCCAACCCCTTCGTCATAAATTGCCGACTAGCACCAGCAGCATCACTGACAAGAGTATAAAACTGCTTCAGATCGACCTTAAGATAGCGTGCAAAGGAAATCGCCTCCGCAGCGGCAACCAGGTTAGTTACCTCCATCAGATCCAACACCAGCTGCAACGCCTCCGCCGTCTCCTCCGACTGAGTAGAAGAGACCTTCAGAATCGGCTCAGCAAAGTACTGCCGCACCATAGACGAGTCATCAACGGGTCCATATCCCTGCAACAAAGCCGACAAGTAAACCTGCTCAGCAGTAGAGCAAAGTGGCGTCGGGAATTGACTTTGGCGCGCAGAGGTCGTGATTATCCCCTGATCGGAAACTCAATTAGCCAACCTCAGTCACAAACCCGAACCCACAAGCATCCCTACCACATCCTTAAGAATAATGGTCAAAGCGCTGGCACCCGGATGCCAATCCTCCTCCAACATCCGCTGCAACCGATTCTCATGCATCCAAGTCCAAGCGGGACTAGACTTGATCGCCTCGGATGTCTTCACTGCATCTAAGCCCAGTCGCGCTGCAAAGCCCTGGGCCTCACCAGCACCCAGAATATGAATACCCGCCAGTACTTGGTGCACCATCTTCATATTACTACCTGCGCCAATCCCGCCGGGGACAAGGTACAGCTTCTTAACATCCGACATCTCCTGTAGCAGGAACCGGCCTTTCTCTAATGCGGCATCCGGCGCACCGGCCATAATTGACAGCGTGCCCGCTGCGGCGCGAAGCGCACCACCTGACACGGGTGCGTCAATGAAGGCTATATCGCTTCTACCGACGGAGACAAGCTCTGCAGCGACGGATTGGGCGTATGATGCTGGGACGGTGGAGCAGAGGAGGAGGGTTGCGTTTTGGGGGAGGGCTGGTTGGATTGCATGAGTGAGGTCTTGCTTCCATTTGTACTATTACGATGTTTTGGTTTGCTTACCTCCGACAATGCCACCATCCCCAAAAAGCACACTCTGCACTTGCGGCGCTGAGGCTACCATACAAACATAGAAATCCTTTCCCTTTGCTGACTCCCGCAGGGACGATGCGGGGATTCCGCCCGCAGTCTTGAAGCGCTCTACTGAGGCTGGGAATACGTCGAAGCCGTGTACTGGGTAGCCCTCTTTCACGAGATGTGTGGCCATTCCGAAGCCCATAGCGCCGAGGCCGACGAAGCCGATTGCGGGGGTTGACATTGCTGCTTTTAAAAATTTATCGATGGTATCTTATTGACTAGACTGGTCTCGGGAGAACAGTTCCTGGCGAACTGTCAAATATTGATGTATAAGATAAATTATACGGACTCGGTCGGCGTGGGGGTTTTAATGAGGGGAAGATGTTTGGGGAAATGCAGGATGGTTCGGCGCAAGTCCGAGGGCCGAAGTTGATGGCCTTGCCACGGTCCGATTTTTAGAAGTTGGTGGTTCCTGATTCTAGGCCAGTAGAAGCGAGTCTAGTGAATCTGGTGAGTCTGATTCGTTTGATCAGTCTGGTAGCTCTGGCTGTTCTGTTGGAAGTGATCCTCGGCATGAGTTCGGAAGCTGGCCGATATCCTAGGCCATACATCACTTTTGCACTATTTGAATGGCTAATTAAGGGAGCCGTCGCATTCTTTGATAGAAAATTTGAAATTTCTGTTCAACATCTCCAATAAAATTAACCAGAAACATTGATTTGTCTACTCTCTATGTCAGCGAGCGTAAAAGGTGCAGAAGAGCCCACAGTGTTGCCTCATTCCAAGGTGAGCATCAACAATCAACTCAATTTGCTCAAATTTCTGGACAATTACTGTAAATTAATCTGCTACAAATGAAAGGTATTTCTATCACTCTTTTAGAGCTAACCCCAAAGTGAATTAATTCCCTTGGCCCTGGCGAATAGCTCCAAGTGACGTAGACGCGGAATAACTCCGACACTCGGACGTGTAGCGACTCAACATACGACTCCGACTACATATAACACTACACTCCGGTCTGTATAGAACGTCAAATCCATGAACCCCTCCTTTCACCCGAAACAAGCCTTTCGCTCTCACCCCCCACCCCCACCCCCCACCGAAACCCAAAATGACCCTCCAAGAAAACCGCGCCCTGCGCATCCTAGATCATGCCTCCGAAAACCACTACGGTATCCCGGCAATGTGTTGCTACAATATGGAAGGCATTCTAGCAACCGTCCGCGCCGCAGAAGTTAAACGTTCCGCAGCCATGATCCTCCTCTTCCCCTGGGCGGTCCATTACGCCGACGGACTCCTCGTCCACGCAGCCGCCGAAGCCGCACGCAAAGCCTCCGTGCCGATAACCGTGCACATGGACCACGCGCAAACACCCGAGATAATCCGGTACGCGGCGGACCTGGGTGGGTTCGACAGTATCATGGTTGACATGTCCCACTACGAGAAAGCAGAGAACCTTTCTCTGACGCGCGAGCTGGTGGAGTACTGCCATGCGCGGGGGATCGCGACGGAGGCAGAGCCTGGTCGGATTGAGGGGGGCGAGGATGGCGTTGCTGATACGGCCGATCTGGAGGGATTACTTACGACGCCGGAGGAGAGTAGGGAGTTTGTGGATACGGGGATTGATTGGCTTGCGCCTGCGTTCGGGAATGTTCATGGAGAGTATGGACCGAGAGGTATTCAGTTGGAGTATGAGCGTTTGAGATCGATTAATGAGGCTGTTGGTCGGGAGGTGAGGCTTGTGCTTCATGGGGCGGATCCGTTTACTGAGGAGATCTTTAAGGAGTGTATTGGTTGTGGGGTTAGCAAGATTAATATTAACAAGGTGTTGAATAATGAGTATGTGAGGGTGCAGGCGGAGATGGCTGGGAAAGTACCTTTGACGACGCTCTTGGAGGAGGCGACCAATGCTATGCAGAAGGCTGTGGAGGGATGCATTGATCGGTTGGGATCTGGGGGGAGATACCCGGGAAAGAATTAGGGATTGTATCCCAGGCTTGCCCTAACTGCCTCGCGCAATTGAGTATGGGAAAGCTTACGATCTTGACCCATGGGATATCATTCTCCAATTCAGTCTCTACTAAAATTCCCAAGTTTCCAAACCGGACTAAAACCAGGTGAATGGGATGGCCAATTGATAGTGGAAGCCCCACGCTCAAGCTCATCAATCGCTAGAAGATTTCGATGTGAAGACGCCCCATCTCCCATTAGGGTTAGGGGCATACCTGAATCACGACACATTGTTACTATTCTATCGATTGATAGCACAAGTCGCGCTATACACGAAGCGCTATTAATTGAACTTTATTCCCTCTCCAAGAACAGACATGACCCTCGGCTGGCCATCCCCATCTGACATATTGGTCGTAAGATACAACACCAGGAAGTTGAATACGCGGCTACAACTGTTCACACAGATCTAAATAACCTTTAAAAAAGACTATTAAGTTGCCTGTCCATTCCATCATCCTCGGGCTCCTAGCGGCCATATGCAGCTTGCAGAACGGCGTCGTAGCCGGTACCGACATTACCTGCGGAGGCCAATTCCCCAAAGCAGGTGGCGGCCTTGCTAAACGCACCGATGGCTGCTCAAGCTGGGGCGACAACCCGGCCCAGGTACGCGACAGTTGGGGAAGTGCAAACTTCAGGGGCGTCTGCGACGAGCACGACCGCTGCTACTACACGATTGGCGCCAGTGTCGATGGATGCAACGGCAACTTCTGCGGAGGCCTCAGGAACGCATGCCGTAAAGCGTATTGCAAGAAGATCCTTAGGGTAACAGTTTGCGAGCCTGTGACTTACGAATATTGTTCGCAGATTGCTGAGACGTATTGTGCCGCGGTCAGATTAGTGGCGGATAGGGTTTTCGCGAAAGCGCAAGACCTTCAAACAAGATATGAGACGTATATCACGGAGAATGGTGGAATCACCCCGCCAGTGCTGTGCAGTAATGGAACGCTAGAAGGCGCATTCTGGAAAGAACGCGAGGCTGGCACGAGTGGTTCCCAAATAGGATTACAGTGTTCTTTGCATGAAGCAAACACAGTGTAGGTAGCCTCGAACGGAATACCTGAGGCGGTTAAAGTATCGACGAAGGGGTTGCGGATAGCCTGGACCTCGGCTGAGGTCTTTTAAAAGGCTGTGGTCGGTTTTAATATGGGCTGTGTCTCGATAAATAACACACACCCATTTTTCAATTATCAGCCACGCGAGGAAGAAAAACGTGGAATGCTGTGATCGCTTGGCAGATGGGGCTGGAGATGAATAGGCAGCGGCGAACTGCAGACCAGCACCACCGATCATGGCATTTGGGTAAGCCCTGACAGTCATCGCGGTTACTACGCCATGTGTATTAACTCCACGGCCGCTCAGGACAATTGGGTTAGGTACTAAGGTTGAGGTGTTTCATTTTTGATGTCTTGGGAAGAAGAAATATATGATTTTGTCCTAGATGATGAACGCACGCATGAAAAACGCCAAAACACATTGTATAAATTCAAGTTATTGGATACATGAAGGATGGTCAGAGATAGGGGGAAAAAAAAGAGCGAAAGGGATCATGATCAATATTTGATACGTAATGTAACAATCCACACCGCACCAACATCACATCAGGCGGGCACAAGTCTCAACGACGGAGACCGAGGCCAGCCAGGGGACCGTGAACGAGACCTCCAACAATGGGAAGCCCCCCGGCAAGCTTGCGAAGGGGGCCAGGGGTAGCAGGTTCGCTAGGAGTGGGAATGGCGGTAGGGGCAGCCTTAGAAATGACAGGAACCTGCGAGGAGACAGGGGTTGGGTGGGAGAGACTTGGGGCCTGAGAGATGGCAGGAGCTGGGAAGTTTGCAACTCCGTGGACAAAAGTGGGCTTGGCCACCACGGGGTGGGTAGTCGAGGAGTGCTGAGCGGCCTCAGCGGACTGTTGCTTCTCAGCCAAAGCCTGATGCATAGCATCGATGGCGGAGGGGAAGTCGTCGAATCCATCGTCGCTGTCCTCGATACTAGAAGAGCCGGTTGGGTTGAAAGGGAAGCCGCCAGCGGCCTTTCCGATGCCATTGCTAGGCTGAAGGGTAGCAGGAGCTACGGGAGCGGCGGGCGCGGCGATGGAGCCGATCGCGAAGACCGCTAGGGAGATGTATGAGACGTGCATTTTTGTGTTGTCGCCTTGGTCTTTGGAATAAATGAGGGTAGATGGTCAGAGAAGCAAATGAAGGACTGGCTGGCGATTCGACGAAGGGTTACAGTGACGCTTATGTAGGCGATGCAGGGCTCTGGATGGACTGTTGTGGTTAAATCATTTCCATCTTCCATGCCTCGCGTTCATATAAGGATCAACATCGCTGGGGCAACGACCACATAGCAGGGAGCCTGGGCCTATCGGGTGTTTGTAAAAGGTCCCATGTGCTACGTATGCTCGGCTCCTGTGGAATGATCGCCTAGGGACCTGCGCAGGAAAGAAAAGCTTGTCAGATACTGAAGGGCAAACCCAACGATCGACGTCGCGCAAGCGGGCAAACTTGACGGCTGAAATAGGAGGTAATGTGATATTGTAATATACAAAAAGCGTCTTTCAGATCCTTCCTAATGGAAAGTCAAGAGTACATAATTCTAACAGTCCGGAGCAACAGTCCGGAGCATAATGTGTGATTGGCTTTCCTAAATAGATTGTGGTGAAGTTCTATCATGTTGGGTTGAGGGTCCCCAGAAAGACGTTACTACACTAGGTATAGAATGAAGTCTTCCTTCGGGGAGCTTTCGGATGCCCGAGCACACAAAAAGCGATCAGATGCTGTCTAATTTTGCTTCTAAGGGCGATGAATGTTTGTGAGATGTCCTGGCATGCAGGAGGCATCCCCTGGCAACCCTAACCGCCCCTTGCAGTGCCACTCACCGTCCACGATATGTACGAGCTTACTTTGCATTGAGACTAGATACATGTACTTGTCGTATTGCTACATTGTAGTGACATATTCGCAGGATCGCGTTAGATCTGATCTGCGTCTTTCCATTTGATCATGCATATATTAAAGTGGTCTGTTAGGGTGCATCGAGCATGATCCCGCTACTAGCTCTAGCTTGACATTTTTTCCAATATTCGCAGAGGCTGGCTGGTATAAAAATGCATCTGCCACTCAATTCATTTAATGTTCAGTTCAATAAGTCGTCATTTAGGGACGTAAGGGGCGAATTTACAATATGAGTTCATCTACATTTAATTTTAAAAAGGACCGCAGCAGCAAGATTCTTCTTTTAGCTAGACTCAACGAGAGAGAGAAAGAGAGCGAAGAAAGAATCAAAATCTTTCAAACTAGCAAATCCAGGGTTTATGTACTCGTTAAAATTTATCTCAGAGTAGCTCAGTCAGCCAACAACCATCTATGGGATGGTCCAATATTTCTAATATTAATGACGTGCTTTGCCAATAGACAAAATCCCAGTGGGCATTGTGAGGGACGAGAATTGTATACTTTGATTTTTTTTCTGTTTTTAAAGTGAAATTCCAATACCGAAGACGAGTCCAAAGAACAGTTGAACAAACATGCTGTGATAATCAGTATTTTTGAAAATTTGGAGATGTGTTTATGCAGACGGAGGGTTCAAACCCCCGTTTAGGAAGGAGCTTGATGCCTGAATGCCTTGATGAGCACCGCTTTTCACACCGCTTTTCACAGTGAACTAGAAATGATCTATGTCTTTAATACAGCTTTTAGCACTATGCAAAATTGAGATGTGTGAGTTTGTATGGTATAAAAAGTGGGTTATCATACAACGCCAGTAGAACCACTATACTATGATTATTAGGGCATATGTAATAATTCAGGTGTTTGAACTTTTCTGCCGTTGTAAACGAGGCATCAAGGCATCAAGGTATCAACTCCTTCCTAAACGGGGCTTTGAGCCCTGAGAGCCATCTGCCTGCGTGTGTGTTCCCTTTTTCTTTTGAACGTCATTTTGGAAACAACGCTTAGAACAAAAACCGGTATGCTGAAAGAGCTCTTGGGAAAAAATAGCCGAAGATAAAACCACATCTAATTTTACTGTACATAAACCTTTTAGTGACAGCTACAGTCACACTTTTACCACTTTATTGGTTCTTGTCAACCTTTTTGTGTGGCAGTTGATTGAATCAATTTGCGGATAATTATCCCCTTACACCAATATGATTCGAGGTTCATGCCTAGTTGGGACTGGTCAAACGACGTTGACTCGCATGAATAACTTCGCAAGTGTATTCATTAGATTCACAGTTGAAAACATTCAAACCAACCGAAAATTTCATCAATATCAAGCCATGAAGTATTCCGAGTACATATCAAGTGCAACATACCCCACAACACGGTTACCTGCATGGCCAAGACGCACCTCAAATAGCACCACAAAAGACGCTTATTGTCGACAAAAGTACAAGCTCCGCTCTCATACATTCATAATCATCACGATCGTCATCACGAAGGAAACATCAAGGACTCACAGTGGTGTCACACAACCTTACTCTTCCACAAGACCCACTACTGTAGCCCTAACACCAAACAAACCAATCTTCGGACACCCAATACCCATATCACGATAAACACAAATGTTATCGGTGGTGGTCTCATAGAGTTCAAAATCAAAGCGACGAGCAATGTGGGCCAAAGATAAGTAGATCTCCGCATAGGCGAGACTATGTAAAGTCTTAGCATTCAAAAACGTACGTGGCGCATAGGCACAGCTTACTTCATTCCCAGACACTGTCTGCTTCCCTTGGTAAATGAGACAATAAACCGACTCAGATACTCCCCTTTCTCCGTCGCACGGATCCAACGCTCCGGGTCGAATTTTTCCGGCTGGGGGAAGAGTGTGGGATCCATATGGACGAAGTAGTTCGACTGACTGACCGGGGTCTGCAATGCGCATTTTTCAGCAACTTTCTCTAGAAATGAATAACCAAACCGGAGTATTATAGCCCATGAGCCAATGCAATTTACTCACCCCTGCAGGGATAACCCAATCCTGGTAGAGCATGGGTTCGTTCGGTGAAACACGAGCCAACCGGGCTGTCATGCCATGACTGAGACGCAAACCTTCATTCACGACACCCGTCTAGTGCATAGAAAGACAAAATCAGCAATCTGTGACCGAAGTAAGAACGAGCACAGAAACAATGACCAACCAAATATGGCAATTTCTCCAAATCCACCCACGATGCCTTAGACAGTGGTGTCACCAGCACAGTCTTCAACTCCGCGCGCAGCTTCGTCATAATCTCTTTGTTGTGGATGAGATGAAACATCGCGACAGTAATAGACCTAGCCGTAGTCTCTGTACCAGCGCCAAGCAACAGCGCAGACTCATCTTCTAGCCGTTCAAGCGTTCTCTCATTCTCAGGCAACTCCAAACTCGTCAACGCATCAAATATAGTCAACCTCGCCTCGGTATCAACCTTCCGCCGACCCTGCTTCTGTAGAGTATCATCCGCCTGCTGTCTTAGCCTAGCCTTCACATCAAACAGATCCGCCATCTGGGGCTGCAGCCAGCGTAGTAGGTTAGGCGGCGCATTTCTGAAAACAGAAATAAGGAATGGGAAGAATCGGTTAATGTGAATCATCACCATCAGCCCATTAACCGCGTCGACAAGGTCGTTGCTCTTCGACCCCTTCTCGCCGTCCAGGTAGCCGTAGCTCCAACCGTAGCAGTAGTCGGTAATCACATCTGCAGTCAGCGCGGCGAAGTCTAGTTGCAGGTGGAGCACGTCGCCAGCTTGGTGGGCTTGCTCGAAGCGCGCAATTAGCTTGTTGACTTTATCGTGGATGGATGGACCAAGGTCTACCACCGAGCGCTTGGAGAAGTAATTGCTCAGCAGGCCGCGGCGGAAGCGGTGGTGGTCGTGGGTGATTGTTCCAACGAGGGAGTTGGGCGCGCCGAAGGCTATGGCGTATTTGGGATCTTTGGAGCGTTTGCGCGCGCTGCCGGCGTGGATTTCGTCGTAGTAGTTTGAGTCTTTGATGTGGATTTCTCGTGGATTGATGCGCACGATTGGGCCTGGATGAGGTATCAGTGGCTTGTGCAATTTGGGTTGTAGTCATCCGATCTATGTACTCACCATACTTCTCGTGCATCCGCTCAATCTCCCAGATGTACATACCGCTTCTGATCACATCGTAATAGAACTCGTAGAGAAAGGTCGCAGCAGCGAGTTTTGGACCGGGGAATTTGGACAGCGGATGGAAGTACAGATGGTACACAGTGCGCAAGGCCAGCAGTCCTAACGGCAACGCCAGCACGTACACGTATATTTTCAAGGAATCCATAATAGCCAAACTATCTCACTGATAGCGGGGAAGAGGAGCGAGGGCGGACATGTATTAAATAGAAGGGCGACGACAAGGGTTCGATTTAAAAACAAAAAATACAGAGAGACGACTCACGAAGCCGGTAGTGCGTGGATGCTACATGGTGCATACATATTCATTTACTGAAAAAGAATCATCTCTTTCCTGATTCAACACGCTTTTATAGACAATGCAAGCATTTCTGGATCTTATGACTGCCCAGGGGACCGCTAAGGTGCTTAATGTAGCTACCATTCGTCGAGTACTGTCCGATTTCACCCACCGTGCAGCTGCAGGCGCATCAAAAGCTAGGGTCGGGTCGAGCACAATCCTCTTTGTCCTGAGGCCAGGAACAATGGATCACCCCTGGTTTGAAAGGATTGTGATGTGTTAGGTCGATGCACGGCCGACAACTGGGCGGATACACCCACCCTCCGTGCGCTGGAACGACCCAATGAATCACGGTGGTTGGTGTTGGATTTCATAGCCCACTTCTAGTTGCAGCTGACTAGTAGACGAAACAATTAAATCCAAGAAAAATGTAGGAAATTCAGCCAAAAAAAAAGCAAGGCAAAATGGACTATCTGGTAATCGAAACCAGGACCTCCCGCACGCTCGCAATAATGCGAAGCGGGCGCACTACCAACTGTGCTAACAGCCCAGTTAAGTAATCACTTAAGTCCGCAGGATGATTTATGAAGGGATTTTCTTGGTGGCTTTTTTAGCATGCTGGTGGTCTTTATGTGGGCGGAACATACAACCGAATGAGCCTAGCCTTTACAGAGGTAGGTATATTAGAATTCACTTAGCAAGTGTTACGAGGGAAACAACATGCTGTTGACCAAGATAGATTTCAGACATAGAGATTTATGTAGTAATATCAGCCATCTCGATTGATACAATACAAAGGTACAGGTTGCGCTATCGTCATGCAGCCGAATGGACTACCAGTGCATTCCTGCAAGAAACAAACGTCCACAATTTACACCTATAGAAACATCCGTGAGATAGTCGGGGAAAAAGTTAAAAAAAAGAGGAAAAGGAAAAAGGAAATAGAGAAACAGAGGAAAAGCAACTGGAAAGGCATTGGACAGAAAAGAAAATTCCGTGGTACTCCGTTTTTTATCCACAAATCTAGACAGCCAACATCTTCTTGATCTCGGCAATTGCGCGACCTGGGTTCAGGCCCTTGGGGCAAGTCCGTGTGCAGTTGAGAATGGTGTGGCAACGGTAGACGCTCATGCTGTTGTCGAGAGCGGCCTTGCGCTCAGCGGTCTTCTCATCACGGGAATCGGCCAACCAACGGAAGGACTGGAGCAGGATGGCAGGTCCAAGGTACTCCTCGCTGTTCCACCAGTAGGATGGGCAGGAGGTTGAGCAGCAGGCGCACAGAATGCATTCGTAGAGACCGTCGAGCTTCTTGCGATCCTCGGGGGATTGACGGAATTCAAGACCCTAGCAATTGTCAGTTTTTGTATGCCATCTTGGCATGTCAGATGACTCACGTCTTCGGTGGGGGTATCGCGCTGGAGATATGGCTTGATAGACTTGTATTGCTTGTAAAAGTGGGTCATGTCGGGGACCAAGTCCTTGACGACGTAAGTGTGAGGCAAAGGGTAGATGCGGGACTCGGTCTTGGTATCGGTGGGAATGCGGCCTGTACAGACAAAGTATTAGCTTTCATTCAGAAGTTGTCGGATGCTTCGATATTGCGCGTGTGCAGGGCTGGGTGCATACACAAGCAGGCGAGAGTGTTGACACCGTCGATGTTCATGGCGCAAGAACCGCAAATACCCTCACGGCAAGACCTCCGGAAAGTGAGGGTAGGGTCGAGTTCGTTCTTTATCCGGATAAGCGCATCCAGCATCATGGGTCCGGTCTTATTCAGGTCGAGGTCGTAGGACTGCATCTGGGGCTTCTCGCTGGGCTGGTCCGGGTTCCAACGGTAGATCTTGAAGGTCTTCATCTTGGGCTGCTCGGAGGGAGTAGGCTCAACGGTCGCATAGGTGCGAGCGAAGGCAGGACGGAACAACGGCCGCGATGCCGCGAACAATCGCGAAGTGGTACGGAGGGAGGCCATGGCAGGTGATCGGAAATGTGAAAAAACACCGAAGTGAAAAGGAAGGAGAGGATGGAGACGGTGGAGGGAAATGGATTGATGGCAGATAGTCAAAAATAAGAGGGGAGAGTTTTCAACAGTTTGAAGGTAGCGACGGCGAAGTCGAGTTTCACAAACCAACAAAGATCCTCAACGAAATGAAGTCCAAGGAGTCTCTTCGCTAGTAACCTCGGGTTTGACGGGTCGGGTGTGTAGATGCTGACATCAGCGGAGCTTAGCCAATCATCTTGAAGGTGTTTACAAGCCTCGGGCGGACACGGCGTCAACTTGGAGAATCAGGGAATTGTCTACTGCCGAGACTACACTCCGCTATGGTCATGCATGTGCTAATAGTGGTCAATTGGAAATTTCAATCTGATGTGATTGATAAACTATATCGATCTTTCGTCTTATCTACTCCAACCCTCCATTGATGGTTGATTTCCCCATTCAAAAACCCACACAAATTGGTGCCTCAGGCTCCAAGGCCATTCCCGGTCTGGTTGCCGAGACGGGATAACGGCTAGTCCGGTCGACTCACATACCAACTGGAAACTGCTGTGTTTTTGAATTACATTCAACCACTAATGAATCAGCCAACTAACGGCGATTTATCTGGTTTGTTCTGAAGCCACTCATAGTCTCGACTACCCATCAACATCGTCCGAATAGCCTTACGCGGTGGCACAGGCTGTCGGTCCAGCAACCCCGGCATGAGTGGATCAATCGTGCACGTTTCCCCCTTTGAAATGCCCTCATATCACGATTAGAGCGGCTGGGAGAATCCTTCCAGGTTTCCCCCCTCGTCATTGGTCAAATTCAATCGCACAAACTCCTCCGGCAAGACAAGCTCCAACTCGACATGTTTGCCGGTCGTCTCGTTGATCAGATCCACGACCTCTGAAAACGTGATAGTCTGCTGTACGGTGAGCAGCACAATCTCTCGATCGTGTTCACCTTGAATCATCAGTCGCGCACTCGCCTCCGCTAACTCCGACCTCAATGTAAAGGCAACCGGTCCGTTGGAAGGGAGGTGGACAGTCGAGATGCTTGGATACCAGCCCATGAATAGCGGGAAAGCATCTGTGCATAAACCATCACGGATAGAGGTGAAGGTGGATTGTCACGGTCGGGGCTTGGCTTACTGTTTCATCATGTCCTCTGTCATCAGCTGGTCTTTTTTGGACAGCCGCCTTGGAGTCGGAACTATACCCGCCGAATGCGAGATTTGTATACCACACCTACGCCTTTTAGCTGGGATGGCTGCATGGGGAGTTTGGTGACTTGCATATTTCATGTTCATCTTCTTCGCTGCAATTACGAAGTTTTTGTGTTGCTTGCGCCTCTTCACGATGTTGTAGGTGTTAATGCTAACAAAGAAGAGGTTCTCCACGCCTTCTAATGCGGTTTTTAGTGTCTCGGGGTCGTCTGAGCTTGCTACTCGGAATGCGATCCCTCGATCTTCGAACTGCTTGCGAGTTCCCTCTCTTGAGGATGCGGCAGCGTACTCTGATGCCGATATATACGCAGAAAGGTAGGATAGAACCCCTGCACCAAGGTCTCTAGTCGCACCTATGATGAAGTACATGAGTGTCATTGTAAAGAATCTTAGAGATTGAACGTTTTTTTTTTGTCAAGAATCACTGAAACAAGTCAGTGTAGTACATACAATAGATGGAGTTGATTTTTTTTGGCTCTAGAATACTCGATATTCTTGTTCTTCCATACCTGAGGTGTTCACTAGATAACAACTCGATGATCATCCCCAGCTTTGCATTAGAAGTAGCTTGAGTTTTATGTCAGATCGGTAAGCACCAGAATTGATAATTCAACGGCTTGAACTACCCTTTAAACGAGGTTAGGACATGCATTATGACAAATACCAAATTTTCACTTGGCCAGCTTGGGGCCAGGAATTCTAGTGATGACAACACCCAACGCCTCGCACCTTGGTCAGTCCGAGGGACCGTCAACCGATTTTTTTGTTCAGGCCTGAGGCTAAACTGGCCATATCACGAGATTAAAAGCTTAGCCTCGAAATCTGGAAGTCCAGGTCATCTGAGAATTGCATTTCTAAACTGTGGAGATGTCTTTCACGGAAAGGGTAGGAATACCGAGAAAGCTTCGCCTTCCACCATTCTCCCTTTTAACACAATTACACATCCACATATGGAGTATTCGGTTCAGCGAGCTCCACTTTGTGCCGTCTCAACCCAAGAGAGTATAAGCACCGACTGATCATACCACGGAGGCGAGAAGAGAACCCCATTTCATGTCTCACTAAACAACCTAAGCGTCACACTATTCAACGCCTCCAAAGACAAATATGAAATTGCCAACGCCATCCATTTCCCGGAACCAAGCCGCGAGAAAAAAAAAAGGATTTAAGATTATCACGTCTAATCTTGGGTTTTGACGCATTTGAAACGGGGGATTTTCACCAGATGATTCCTTCGGATGCCATCTCCGCGGATTGAGGAGACTGGGGTCCACAAGCTCGTTAGTCGGATAAATGCCCCGAACCGACGCTTGCTTTCAATCTCGGTAGCCTCTGTGTAGCAAATCCTCTCTTTGGAATAGTGCGTAAGGGATAGATCAAATTGTGGGATACCGTCTTGTTTCTCTGTTTGGGGAACGAATTTGATTGAAAAGACAATCAAACTGTCGAGAATCGCCGAGTAAAGCTCGTAACACCGTTTGATCCATTTAGGGAAGTGGATGCGACTTTCACCGTAGCAGGAGATATGGGTGCATCCAGGTCCACTTTGAGGTGCGGGTGTGACGTGCCGGGTAGAAGTGCTTGGCTGGTGGGATCTTGAAGCCATGGTACCGACGACAAAGTGGATATTGAGGTTGAAGGGTTTGATAACTTGACGTGAACTCAGACGAGAAGACATGAGACTGAGGATTCTGATGTGCGCCCATGTCAAACTAGCACACTGTATATATTTAGAGCCCCAGCTATTGATCTTTCAGCTGATTTTCGATCTCGCACTGTCTATGTTCAGACGATCCAACAGTGGCGGTAAGACGTTGGACCTGTCTGCCAACGTCTGTTGATTCAGCAGCGAGTTCTCATAAATGAAAGAAAAAGACACAGTCAATGCTGCGTACGGGAGGTGCAGGTAGGATACCATGATAAGGTCTAGACACGAGAGTAGTCCGGTGTATATATATACAAATTTATATAGAGAGAGAGGTCTGTTAGAAGCAGAAAAGAAAAACGAAAAGAAATGAAAACTAGCTGTCCCTAGACCCGGGCACTACAATCCTCACATCACTCCCATCATCTTGAATGATAACCTCATTCGTAACCCGGATCCCTGGACTACTAGTACCATTCCTCTCCTCCTCATTGCGATTACTCCTCCTGGACCCGCTTGTAACATCCCTCGAAAGAGAGGCATCAGAAGGCATCATCTCATAGTCGTCCTTCCCAATCTTTGACCAACTAATGAGACGCTTGCTATCCCGCTTGCTGGAGCTCGCACCAGTGCCAGTAGTCTTAGAATGGCTGAGACTGGTTATTTTGGTCGAGTGCGAGCGGGTGCGACTGGACGTGTACTCATTTATGCGTGTGAACAGGCCCCCGAAGACTGGTTTCAGCGCTGGCACCGAGAGAGCGATTAGAGTCCCGGCGATCTCGGCGTTCTCAACGCACATCATTGGGTTATAGGCCCAGCTGCCGTCAGGGTCCCATTGGCCCTCTGCTACGAGCCAGATGCGGACGGCGGAGATCATGATGACGCTGTGTGATGTTAATTTCGCGGGGAACTTGGGTGGCTTGGAATTGGAGGGGGAAGCTACTTACAGGACACCGGGGAACATCACGATTGATAGCTTGATTTTTTTTTCTCGGGAGACGTGCAGTCCTCTGATGAGTGCTGCGGGGATCACGAACATCATCAGGTCACAGGCGAGAGATAGACCCGAGTTCACCGAGTACACGAGTCCCCATGAGAGACATGTGTAGGTCTTTGGCTCCGGTTGCCACTCGTAGGGCCACAGCCCTGTGACCGGTTTGCAGTGGAAGATTAAAAGAAAGATCTGGGGTAGGTAGGCGGCGAAAAGGAGCGGCGCGGCGATGATGATGCTCATGTGGAGTTTTGTTGAGCGGGCCGAGAGCCGATAGTAGAAGGCTAGACCGGAGAGCCGACATAGGAATAGAGTTGTTGTGTAAAGAACGTGGGCAGCGAAGTCGAGGATTTCGGTAATGCGGACTGTGGGAAGTGATAGCACATACTGAATGTATTCCATGTGGCGGCCACTTCCTAATTTGATCAGGATGATGGAGAGGACGACAAAGGCAATGTACAGCATCTGCCGTGGGAGCCATTGTTAGATTCTGACTATATTTTTGATCACTATCCACAAGCTATTCTGTGCATGATATCCCATGCACCTTTAGTGCAGTACAGGGCTGGGATGGAAAGTGGATGACCTTACCATTGTCAAGACGGCCAATGCATCGTCCAAACCAATCTTCTTCACAATAAATGCCCGAGCATATAGACGTACAATCATCAAAAGGCCCGTAAAACAGATCAAGAAAATGATTCCCACAATGGCGGACTTATCGCGGGACTCTGCTAAGTATTCGAGTGAAACCCCGCTGGGGATTCTCCCTGCTGCATCTGCAGCAAGGATGTCTTCGGGGATAGTCATTGCAAATTTCAAAGGAGTGGCATTATCGGACATAGGAAAAGTATAGAGGTATAGGTCAAGAAGGCCTCTCACATCATCTCAGGATGTTAGGCAAATCGATACTCCGAACACTTCTCTAAATTCTCTAAATTCTTTTTAATCTCTTGAGGAAAGTGGACACAGCGGGTCTGACTTTCAATAATTTCCAGGGATCCCGACACCCGAGACCAACGGGAATGCCGTACCAAAACCAAACATATGAGCCTTTTGGAACGGACACGGAGTGCAATGTTTGTGGAGAAGTTGGATTTTATCGAAAGAACTACAGACTTAGCTACAATCACCCAAATTCGAGGACCCAAAACCCATTCAATGGCCATGATCTATCACCTGTCAGAATTTCGAGCGGTGAATTAGCCCTAGGTCTGCAGAACTAAATTAAGAGCCCTAAGTCTGGACTAACGCGATCTACTCATTCCACGTGGATGAATAATCGGTCAGCATGCGAGTTGACGCTAAGTGACTTGTATTTCAATACGGGTTTACGGAGCTATCTGGAGATTCTGAGATCTTATAGGCCCCGTCGCTAATATATAACATCCTCCGTCAATGAAAACATGCCGTGTGTGGTACAATGCCCGAGCCAAGCCGAACTAGTCGTACGATCTTTCACACCGAAGTGGCCGTCGCGCAAGGTAGCCCATCAGAATGCTCACAAAAGTGGATAATGATCGATCGAACGGAGCGCAGCTCGGTTCCGGTGGCACTCGATGGGGTCCGGCAGATTCTTCGGATCTAGTTATTTGTGCGGTTATACGCAGGTGTTGATCCCAAAGATCTTCCGCGCTTGAATATAGATGAAGTAATGCCAAAAGTACATTTATTGAATGGTACCTTTCAACCAGTTGTGAATCTTTTTCACGAAGATTTTCTACTGAACAAACGCCACTAGTTCCAATGGTTTGGCTGAGAGAGTGGACTGAGATTAGACCAAATTGGGAAGTGGTCTAACGGAGTACCAAAGAAGGAGACTAAGTGTATAGATTGAAAAATATGAAAAATGTCTTGGGAATGCCGGGTTGTCGGGTCCCGTTAGTCACTCACCGAAGGGCTAGTATATTCTTGTCGGAGGTACGGAGTATAACTGCACGAATCGCCCCCCCCCCCTCCCCGAAAAAAATTGGAGTTTCTGCCACATGGAATTTTGGCGGGGGTTTTCAATCTAGTATCAATCATGGCACCTTTAATCCAGACCTTGGTAAGCGGTCTCGCCTTGGTGAACTCCGTTGTTGCTCAAGAGTCCGACTGCTTGGTCGACTCCCAGATCCTCACCGATCCCTACCTCTATGACTTCCCTCGTCTGGGCGGTGATGGTGCTGCCCAGTTCCCCATGCGTACCTGTCACGGCTTTCAGCTGGAGGAGGCCACGGTCGATGAAATCCAGGCCGAGCTAACGGTTGGCAATTTCACTAGCGTTCAGCTGCTGGAGTGCTACATGGACCGTGTCTACCAGACCCAGCCTTACTTGAAGTGTGTGAACGTGCAACCTCTGTCATAGAATAATTAATTAACCACCTAGCTAGTGCCATTCTGCAAGTGAACCCAGATGCTTTCTCCATTGCCGAGCAGCTCGATGATGAGCGGACTTCAGGCATCGTCCGTGGTCCTCTTCACGGTATCCCCTTCATTGTCAAGGACAACATCGCCACTAAGGATCGTCTGGAGACCACTGCCGGCAGCTGGGCTCTGCTCGGCAATGTCGTGCCCCGTGACTCTCACGTCGTCCACGGTATGCGTAAGGCTGGTGCTCTGCTTCTTGGGAAGGCTGCTCTGAGCGAATGGGCCGACATGCGCTCCAACAACTACTCCGAAGGCTTCAGCGCCCGTGGTGGCCAGTGCCGCAGTGCTTACAACTTCACCGTAAACCCCGGTGGTAGCAGCACTGGCTCTGGTGTTGCTGTCAGCGCCAACCTGGTACCTATTGCTCTTGGAACCGAGACCGATGGCTCTGTCATCAACCCTGCTCAGCGCAACTCCATTGTTGGCATCAAGCCTACTGTCGGTCTGACCTCCCGTGCTGGTGTCATCCCAGAGTCCACCCACCAGGACACCGTCGGCACCTTTGGTAAGACCGTCCGTGATGCCGTCTACGCCCTCGATGCCATCTACGGCATTGACCCTCGCGACAACTACACCTCCGCCCAAGAGGGTCTCACCCCCGTCGGTGGATACGCCCAGTTTCTGACTAATCAGACCGCTCTCAAGGGCGCCGTCTTCGGTATCCCCTGGGAGTCCTTCTGGGCCCTTGGCGACGCCGACCAAATCGCCCAGCTCCTCGAGCTGGTTGAGCTGATCGAGTCTGCCGGCGCCACCGTCATCAACGGCACTGAGCTGCCTCACTACAAGGAGATTGTTTCGCCCGACGGCTGGAACTGGGATTACGGTACTACCCGCGGCTACCCTAATGAGTCCTCGTACTCCTACATCAAGGTCGACTTCTACAACAACCTGCGCGACTATCTGTCCGAGGTGGAAAACACCAACGTTCGCTCCGTCGAGGACCTCGTCCAGTACAACATTGACAACTACGGCTCCGAAGGTGGTCTTCCCGGTATCCACCCCGCCTTCGGTTCTGGCCAGGACGGTCTCATCGCTTCCCTCGAGAGCAAGGGTGTCATGGATGAGACTTACTTCCAGGCTTTGGAATTCTGCCGTCGCACTACCCGTGAAGAGGGTATCGATGCTGCTTTAAAGCAGGGCAATGTCACTCTCGACGGTCTCCTTATTCCCCCCGATGTCGCTCAGAGCGTTGAGATCGCCGCCCAGGCTGGATACCCTGTCATCACTCTGCCTGGTGGCGTCAGCGATGTCTCAGGCATGCCCTTTGGCCTTGCTCTCGTGAACACAGCTTTCTCCGAGGCCACCTTGATTAAGTACGCCAGTGCCATTGAGGACCTAAAGAAGAACCAAGGCGCTAAGTGGGACCGTCCTCTTCCTGAGTGGCGTGGTTACCTGGAGCGTCCTCTGCCCGTCGCCTTCTAGGAAACGTTGGGGGTGGATTCTCTTTGGAGGTGGTAATCGCTGAACAGAGGGGGGGTTTTTTTTTGGTTGGATAATGCACATCGTCACATAGACTTTTGAGTACAAATTTAATATATGTAATTCTAGAATTTTATCTAGGGAGTACGGAGTGCTCCTTTCCATTTTCCTATCATCTTTAGATGAAACCAGTCTACCAAATTTGGTCACATGAGGCTTCTCCATCCAATCCCCGAAACAATTCGAACAACAGGACATGTGGATCTTATCTGACAGCTCCGATGGGTAATATATTCAAATTCAGGGTGGGTGATCTTCCAACATTTGCCATTTAGGATATGATTCTCATTGATGCGATAACCACGGAATCCCCATTGAAGATCGACAAAGGAATGTCCCCCATATTAGCCAAGACGGAGAAATTCTCCGCATATTTCATCACTTCATCCTCATGCCTCAACACAGGATTAAGAGAGAAATCCGAACCCCCCAACATTGACCATGAACGTTCTGCCAAAAGGGAGAGATGATCAAATTAGACCCTCGGAGACCATTCTCATCCGAGTAAAGAGTCCGGCCAAAAAAAAACTAACAAGCTTACTCCATGCAGTTACAAATGTGGGGAACATCCGAGAAGTGAAACATCCTCATGCACCGGTCCCAATTCTCCAGTGCCGGTTTGATTTGCGACCGGGATCATTCGATTGGAACTCCTGAAATTGCTAAGCTTGCATTACGCCACTGAGGACCTTGTACACGAATATGCAGAGACACGAATTATGCCATTGGTACACGATCATTTCACGTGGCACGTGTCGGGTCAGCTGTTTTTCCGGATCCTTTTCATCCTTCCCAACATGGCCGGGCTATTTTTATTCGCCAAATTGTGGATTAAGCGCAACCTTAACATATTGTCAAGCTTGGCTTCCACGTTTTTTGATACTGGAGCCAAGATGCCTAGAGCTACCAAGGTTCAGTCATTATCCACTGGGTCATTGTTGGCGTACCAAGACGGAGATTACCATGGGTGGAGAGAATTGATTGTCAACCATCCTTAGGTCTTGGCCCGGATTCGCTCGGAATGCTGGCTGAATTGGGTTGCTTGTTCATCCTATATAAGATCAGGTCAACCGCGCTCCAAAATGTCTACAGCTTCTCATTCCAACCATTACATTCTTTTAAACTCCCAGCTACAACTATCATCATGAAGATCGCAGCCATCTTTGCAGCACTCGCAGTGCGGGCCGCTGCCGCCGGTGTCACCGGTGCCGCAGAAGGTTTCGCCAAGGGCGTCACTGGTGGTGGCTCTGCCGCCCCTGTCTTCCCCAACACCAATGCCGAGCTGGTCTCGTACCTTGGTGACTCTTCTCCTCGTGTTATCGTCTTGACCAAGACTTTCGACTTCACTGGCAGTGAGGGAACCACCACCAGCACCGGCTGCGCCCCTTGGGGAACTGGTGCTGGTTGCCAGGTTGCTATCAACCAGGACAACTGGTGCAAGAACTACGAGCCGAACGCTCCCACTACTCCTGTCCAATAGTATGTTCAAACTCCAAGCCCAAACTCCATTGTTCCAAGCAATTCGAGAAGGCAGAACTGACCAACCGCTCCTAGCGACAACGCTGGTACCCTTGGCATAATCGTCCAGTCCAACAAGTCCATTGTCGGTCAGGGCAGCACCGGTGCCATCAAGGGCAAGGGTCTCCGAATCGTCAGCGGTGCGAACAACGTCATCATCCAGTAAGATCCTTTCACCTGCTTCAAAGCCGCACCAAAGCAAAACATTGAAACTAACCCTTCCACCCAGGAACATTGCCATCACCGACATCAACGCCAAGTACGTCTGGGGCGGTGATGCCATCACCATCAACGACTCCGACCTGGTCTGGATTGACCACGTCACCACTGCCCGCATCTCTCGCCAGCACATCGTTCTCGGCACTCTGGCCTCCAAGCGTGTCACCATCTCCAACAGCTTCCTCGACGGTTCCGGCAGTTACTCCGCTACCTGTGACGGTCACCACTACTGGGGCTTCTACTTCGATGGATCCAATGATCTCATTACCTTGAAGGGCAACTACATCGCCCACACCAGTGGACGTGCCCCCAAGGTCCAGGGAAACACTCTTTTGCACGCTGTAAGTTGGATTTTGCTCTTTCCTTGCCCCCTTTTGGGGGTTGATGCTTTTCTGGTGTGGATAAGTCTCTACTGGAAATATTGCTAACACATCCCCCCCCCCCTTCAGGTCAACAACTACTGGCAGGACAACACTGGCCACGCCTTCGAGATCGGCGCCGGTGCCTACGTCCTCGCTGAGGGTAACGTGTTCCAGAACGTCGTCGCATCTACCCAGACTCCCATTGTTGGACAGTTGTTCTCCTCCCCCGATGTCAACACCAACGCTGTCTGCAGCTCTCACCTCGGACGTGTCTGCGAGGTCAACGGATTCGGATCTTCCGGAAACTTCGGTGGCCGCGCTGATACTGGATTCCTTTCCAACTTTGCCGGCAAGAACATTGCCTCTGCTACCCCTTACACTTCTGTTGTTGCCAGTGTCACTGCCCACGCTGGCCAGGGTAAGCTTTAAGCTGGACCTGTTGTGATCTAATCCGAGGAAGAAGAGGGGATGATATCCCTTCTGTGGAAGGGGTTGACTCTGGATGGAAGTTGTAATTTTAGAATCGTCTGTCATTTAAATAATAGGTTTCCTATGTGATATACTAGCTTAATTGTTTAGGAAATCAAGAGCTTGATTTATTGACAAGAAAGAGTGAAAAGACCAGAACTAGTTACAGTTGACCAGAAGCACGACTTGCGCGCGCAAGGCACTAGAACTGCTAATGATAGTCATGTGCGTATGTCGCGAGCAATCAGCCAGAGGCGGTTGAGGATATGGTTCTAATCAGTTGATGATGAAAATTCCCGGCCCAGCGAGAGTGGCGTTTGCCACACTGTATGCATTTGTAAATGGTCCCTTGGTTGTGGTTACCGCAGCGATGGTCAACCCGTTCAATTGATATGCCTCATAAGGAAATAGAGCTTCTGCAACGATCGTTTTGGTATCCTTGGAGATAATCCGGAGAGGCTCCACGATCGGCAAATTCTGCTGGTTGATAAAGGTGAGCCACAGCGTCTCTTGATCAATCCAGTCGTGAGCGTCGAAGGAAACCTTGATGTTTCTGGTCCCCGCAGTAGTCGGGGCTGTGCTGACGTTGAGAGTGGCAAAGGTTTTGAGTGGAATGGAGCCAATGTTGGGGCAAGTGCCAGGCACGACGAAGCTCTGAATGGCAGTGAAGGCGAAGTTGAGATCGCTGGTCGTCAAGAAGGGCAGTTCACTAGGGACCTTGCCCTGCATGACGCGAAACCATCCCTGCTGTTCTCCCTCCTGGCCAATGACGGAGGAAACCTCGCGTGTCAGAGCGAAGTCACCACCGAGAGCAAATCTCTCCACAACGTCCTGCAGAGTACCCAAAACCACATCTGTGAAGGTGGTGGCGAGTACAAGGGCCGAGTCAAAGTCATTGATGGGGAAGGTATATTGGCAAGGCTCGATGGGGTCAATGCCAACATGGGCCAAGGCGTTGTTGGCGTCAAGGGCATGGAGCTCTTCTTGCTGTGTCCAATTAGTCACTATCATCAAGCGATATTCGATAGAAATATCATCTCTTACAGCCAGGATCGCCCGCAAGCCGTTCAAAACAAAGTCATAATCCCCTTCATCAGTGAAGCGATAGCCTAAAGCCTTGTCGGTGATGTTTGTGATCAGTTGATGAAAAAAGGCAATTTCAAAGAGTTCGTTGAATGCGATTAGCTTGAGATTCATGATTCCTCCTTCACTGATCCCGATTGGAGGAGGACCATTTGGCAGAGTTCCATAGGAGTTCAACTCAATTGTCTCCAGCTCACTGGGGCTTGGATTAGGCATTCCATCCGGAAGAGGGTGAGTCGACACGTTCGGAAACGGAGCGGCAACAGCCAAGTAGATCACGCCCAGAAGGGCGACAATGTGGAAGCGCATATTGATGTTTAAAAAAGGGATTGGCAATGAGAGACACAAGTATCAATGGGGTAGGATGATATATGAAAAAGTAGAAAATGAAGTTAGGAAGTTGGGGGAAGTCGAGGAAAGTTAAAGCGAGTGGCAATCAACAGGAAGGAACAGCCAGGGACGGCGCTCATACATTTACACATCCATTACGTGTAGATACAGGTAGTTCTGGATGTTTGATGTGAACCTGCCATTCTGCACACTGTCAAGTAAATCCCACTCTTCGGTTCTCCCTGTTGATGCGCGTGGACAAATTACCGGGTTCGAAGGATCGATGTCAAAACACGCCCTGGACTGTTGTCTCTGGTCTCCCTCGTATGAAACAGAACACGCATAATCAGTTCAATGGGAAGGGCAAAAATGCGCGTAGACTAGGAGAGATTGAAGATGGTCTAAAACCAGTAGACCCTCATATTAAGGATGATACCAGACAGATGACACGAACCAATTGCGACCAACTTCCGTTAGGCGAGGAAATTCAAAAGAGATGTTCAAACTCAATGAGATCCAAAAAAATCCGCGACTGAAAATCTTTGTCAAAGAGATCATTGATCCGCTATATATGCCATACCATGTAACTACCGCCATCTAGTCGGCTGGAATCGAGGGACATTCAGAGAAGCGGTGACAAAGTCATTTGTAAGTAAGGAGCAAAAAGATCATAGTCTGGCGACAACCGACACAAAAGTTTGGCCCGTGGACATCTTTTCATAACGGCACAATCAAGCTAATCAAGCTTATTCCCTGTGATCCAGCGACTCCTTCTCCGTGATTTCAATCTCCTTTTCGACCTGCTCGAGATCAATATTCACTACCTGGGCATCATCGCTATCGACAATCTTAGCCAATTCCTCAAGAGTAGAACACCGAATCTCAATGTAAAAAAGAAATTGACGAAGCAAAGCTCGATGAAGATCCAAATCGTATAGATCAGCGACAGGTTCCAGTGGCGAGGAAGGCTCTCCTATGCCATTGGGTTGGACAGCCCGAGGCCCACAAATCCAAAAATCCGGAGGGGCCACAGTGCATATAATTGACATTTCTCTGTTTTGATCAGCTGTTTCGTCGATGGGTCTGTTTTGTTCAAGGCTTCGAGTTCGTGTTTAGCGTTTTCTGGGTTCCAAACAGGGTCGGACTCCAAATAACACGCCATGTGCCGAATTCAGTAATCTAATAAGCCTGGGCACCCTCTAAAGGCAAATGAAATGGGGTGGGATAAGTCGTGATACCAAGATACCGGGGGAAAAGCTAGCGGGGAATTCTTCATTTGCGGGGGACATGCACTAGGCTGTGCTTGAAATCCAATCTTAGCAACGCCATCTGTTAGGGGGTTAATAGGCCAAGAAATCTTGTTCAGCTCCAAGCAGAGGCCATCTGTGGAAGAGAAGACACTCGGCTGTTTAAAGTAGAACGTGACCCGAGTTCACCGCTTCCTTCTTTCAGTCGGGTGCTTCTGACCGCCTCCAGTAAGAGAAAGAAGGAACAGCTTCTCATTGGTTCGATCCAGAAGATCGGCAGAACTAAGGACCCAGTCACATAAGAGGCACCTTCCTCAAGTAGGGAACTGCCAGTGCACGAATCAATATCTCTTGTTCTGAAAATTTGAGCTCATGCTGTAGTTCGACTTCGGAGAACCAAGAAACGATGCCAGAGAAACCCAAATACAAGCTTTCAAAAGAGCAAATTGACCACTTCATGAAATATGGGTACGTGCAGCTACCGGACTGTTTCTCAAAAGAGAAAGGAGCCAAATGGGCAGGTGATGTGTGGACTAGACTCGGTGCATCACCAACGGACAAGTCAACATGGACAACCGAAATTACCTACATGGAGGATACCAAGGAAGAACCCGTCAGGACGTTCGCCCCCAAGGCATGGGCGGCCATTTGCGAGCTTCTCGGGGGCGAAGACCGCGTAGCCCCGGAATCGGCTACTTGGAACGACGCCTTGATCATCAATCTAGGCTCCCCGGAGTCCGAAGGCACATGGCCCCATCCCGCTGATCTGCCCGGGTGGCATGTGGATGGCGACTTCTTTACCCATTTTCTTGATTCGCCTGAACAGGCCCTGCTCGTTATACCCCTATTTACCAACATCCAGGATCGTGCAGGTGGCACCATGATCTGCCCTGAGGCGACAAAATATGTTGCCCAGCATCTGGTGGGTAGCCAAGTCTCTTGTCCCACTTTTTGTGTCTTTCTGACCCACATTTCTAGTACAACCATCCGGAGGGTGTGACACCGTATATGTATCCCCGTGGCAAAGACCCTGCTGGGAACCCTGCGGATACGCCGTTTTACTCAGAGATTGTTAAGAATTGCAGCGACTTTCACCAGATGACTGGCAAAGTGGGCGATGTGATTCTTCTCCATCCTTTGATGTGCCACTCGATTTCTGTCAACAGTTTGAGACATCCACGTGTGATAACCAACCCACCAGTAGCATTAAAACAGCCCTTCAAGTTTGACCGGAAGGATTCATCCAAATACAGTCTCGTTGAGAAGAAGACGCTAGAGATGCTTGGCAAAGATCGACTATCTGGCTGGAAAATCAAGGGGAAGCGCGAGTTCGTCGTTCCGGAGAGGCTCAAGGATAAAAGAGGATCGAGCGAGAGCTAGAAAGAGTAGCAAAAATCACGAAACAACCCACATCAGCCTGGCTTCCACGACCTTTACCTTCGCCGAGACAGCGACCTTTATTCTTATGTCGAATTAGCCTTTAGTCTGAAATCCGAGTTATTACTACCAGATTATAATAGATGCTTTGGCCTCTTGCTCTAATTTTGCCGGTCATGACCTTATAGGCTAGGTGGCCGTGGCCTTTGGAGACAAAAATCCTGTGATGGCCAACTCCCATTGAATTCTGACCCGGTTACTTTTGACATTCAATTTCTTCGCCACAGGAACGCAGACGAAACCCCCCCGAGGACAGCCACACCCGTTAGAAGACCCCATACCCCTTGAAATGCCGCGACCGAAACAAGTGTAACCGCCTTCCTATGTTCATTTGTCATGCTCTCATCCTTCATCAGAATGAGATACCCGTTAGAAGAGTTTACCATGTCTCGACTCAGCTCAACACTCGCGAGTCCACTAACGAACCTGTTCAACAACACAACTCCCCCGACCGGGACTGCGACTGCCATACCCCAAGCTCGCGTGTAGTAAGACATGGTTGTTGGCAGAGTGGACAAGGAGCCATCCCCGTCCTTGGGTAGATTATGGATGCGAACATTGTAACTCGTAAGCAGCAGACCATGTCCAAGGCCTGCTGTTAATAACAAAAATACCCACTCTACGGCTGGCGTGGAATTATCCAAGAGGATGGAGCATCCACTCACAATGGCAGTCAAGCCCCAACCACCAGAGATAATCCACTGGGTACATCTTAACTCTCTCGCGAGAATAAGACCAACAACTGTGGCTGGCGCTATCGCGAGCCCAAGCATGGCTAGCAAGGCGATACCTGACAAGGTGGCGGACATGTAATGGGCAGAAATGAAGTACAATGGAAAGAATTGCAAGTGAGCGAACACCTAGACTGTTCTGTTAGGCACCATGAACCAACTGAAAAGAAAATGCCTACTGACCACAAACCCATGCAGAAAGCACCCCAGATGAGTCATAGCCATCATCCTCGACCGAAATGATCTCCTCCCAAACTGTGGATGCACAGCCCACTTAGACTCATAAAAGAGAAGCACAAGAAGAATCAAAGCACCCAACGCAATTGGAATCATTGTCTGCCAGTCCCCCCAGTGATAAGAGCTCCCACCACAAGAAAGACCGACCAGGATAATCGCAAGACCCAAAAAGGCCATAGTGGCACCCGTCCAATCCAACGTGCGCAGTTTGTGCATCGGGATATATTTCAACGCGCGAAGATCCACAGCAAATGGAATAGCCAGCAAACCAAGCGCACAGAAAAGGAAGTTGAAATGAAAAGCCCACCTCCAGTCAGCATTATCGAGAAACAAGCCTCCGATAACGGGGCCTAGGATGCCGCCACACATGCGTGTCAGCAGGATGTAGCATGAATACCGTGAGTGCATGGCTTTCGATGCCGTCCCGGTCATCATCACATAACATAGACTCATTGCGCCGCCGCCGCCAATGCCCTGAATTATGCGGCCGACTATCAGTTCTGCAAGACTCATTGAACCGCTGCAGATTCCTGTGCCGATTGTTGCGAGGACTACGGCGATGATCCATACGGGTCCGTGGTTGAAGACTTCGCTCATCATTGCGAAGTAGAGTTGGCTGCTTGCGCCAAAGAGGAGGTATACCGTGTTCACCCAGAATGTGCTTGCTAGTGGCTCCGCGAAGGTGTTTGCCAGGTCCTGGATTGAGTATCTGGTCAGCTAGGGTATAGATGTAGAATGCCACTCGGGGATAATGCATATGCCATACAGGTAAAGCTGGAATCAAAACAGTCGCATTGAACGAATCCATCATTGCGAGGATCACAATGCAGATGAAAACCAGCCACTCTCGCACTTCGATTCGTCTTTGTTGTTCTTTGGTTGAAGGGTCACTCTCAAATAGTTGAATTGAGCTCTCGAGTGCTGGGTTGTGTGTTACATCATCCAAGCTTCGGACGCTGCCTGGTACGCCGAAGTTGATTTTAGACTCATTATCGTAGATTTCTTCGGCTATTGAAGGACGTCCCATTGTGTTGATCCTGGACGTCGAAAGCCTTCTCGAGGTATCAAATCCTTGTTTTTAGGTTGTCGTTCCTGACAGGAATCTGGATTTGTTGTATCTGAGTCAACTTCTGCATCGGTCGAGACTGTACAGCTTATCCCCTGAGGAAAACTCATATCTAGCATTACAAGGTTACCCACGTGAACGTGGGATGGAAGAACTGTGTAAGAAGGGCTCCCCTCCACCCCTTGGTGGTTGGAAAACCTGCAAAGGAGACTCCTAGGCGGATTCCACAAAAGAAGGGATACATAGTAACTACATTACAATTGGTCTGAAGTTCAACATATTCTTGTTCAAACCTTTTTTCAACGGGGAAAAAACTAGAGCCAGACCCCTGGGAATGATGGACTTAAGGACGCCAGGGTCTAACCACCGTTGGCATGCTGGCCTTTACACCCCTTGTTGATTGTCGTGATGTAGATGCATCGAGCATTCCGTAGATGACGTGATGTACGAAAATTGGCTACCTGAATTTGACACAAATTACGCTGTCAGTTTGCTATACTCAACTAATATCACACAGGTCAATATGTAATGTCCCAGGTACGGAGTGGTAGAATGGAAAACATAATGAATGAGACTAGTAAAACTAGGCCTTACCCTAGTCCCAAGACGATCCTACATTTTTTAATATTAATAGTATTATGTCAGAATACCAGGTACAATATATAGTGGAAACCATGTATAACCTCGGTGGGCTCGGCTATACCATAATATTAAATGTCCTTGCTCCTTGTAGTTGAAGCATCGACCTTCTTTTATCAGGATATCTCGCTCGGAGTTCGACAGTCTTCCGGGGTTGGAGCTTTCTTTCTTTACGTTTCACTCGGGGAATGTACGTCGACTTCGTAGCTGTTCCTACTCCTATACCACCACTAGGAGCAGCAGTGAATCGCATACGGGAAGTAGTCTTCGCCTCCTACTAGAGGTTAATCTCGTGAGATATACTCTAGTAAGTCTTAGAGAAAGACTCGAATATCATCATCTCCTAGTTAACTGCCTATATCACCTAGCTCTAAAGTATGTACGGTAGCTTTAAGTACAAATCACGTTTACGGTTCTCTTTAATCACAGTAGCTTCTTTAGTAAGCTATATAAATTTAGTAAGGAAATCGGTAAAGCTATCCTTCGGCTAATGAGCGAAGCGAAGCAATTATACTAAATATTCAATTTCTTAATTGTCAGAAAACCAGGTGCAATACATGGTGGAAACAATATTGACCTCGGTAGACTCGGCTATCCCACAACAAAAGCACGAAGATTAGTAATCCAGATCCCACACAGATTGCATAAATAGGGATTTTTGTCATTCTTAGGTAATTAGAGAATTTGATACCTGTCATTTCAAAACCATACATTTCATACAGTCAGATTTCTGTCAAATC